AACCAGTCCAGAAAACCAATCCACTCGAGGCCACTGCAACAAATCGTCAATGTCACACACTTTGGTGATAAAAAAGGATCTTCTGAGACTGCCGCCCGAAACACCACTTATTTGTGACTAAGAAATCGTGCCCCGAGCAGTGAGTAGAAATGAATGAAGACCTGTTTGATGCGGAGAGCAGTCACCGGACCTGCGAGTACATACACACTGTTACATATGTGTACGTCGTCCAGAGAAGAGCCCTTTGTGTGTCTCCCCTCTCCAGACAACGGGGCACCGATGTCTTGTGACATCAACGCGTCGGGCCGGTCGGACGTTCAATCTTCAATCAGGCGGCTTTCATCGTTGCGTCGCACCTCGGGGCTGGCGGCACGGTGGCGACGCCTTCTGGATCGCATAATGGACGCTCTGATCTCGGCCGCTACCCCAGTCGATTATGTGTGTGCGTAAAAATAAACAAAGTTACAAATGTATGTGTTTTTTAAATCTTGTTCGACCTTGTTTTCACCAGAGAATTGAAATTAAGAACTTCCTCAAGAGAGTTCTGGACAGGAGGCCACAAAATCCCGTCTTGGCTATGGCACTAGGCTGCAGGGCTATAGACCAAGCTTGTCCAAGTCAATTTGACGGCTAGTTTTGAAGTTTTGAAAGCGTAATTACTAGGTGTTTGTAGATTTGTAACCTGGTCTTATCCATCCATCCATAAACTCTGCTCCATGATCATTTCCTGCATGTACGTCTGGGTCTGATCCTAGTGGCTGCAGTTTCCTCGGTTGAATCTCCCCCGCCCAATCAGAGAGCGGGGGAAGCGGGTGTTGTAGGTCGGTGTCGGTGACATCAAGAGTTTGTGCTGAATTTGCCAGTTGTAGTTTGCCGGCAAGTAAGATAGTATATTAACCTGTTCTGGTTCAATCCAAATATCAAATATTGAAGCCGGAGCAAGAGGAATGTTTAGTAAATGTCATTGCTGCAAAGATGTTGTGGCTCTACTCCACACGGGCTCCGTCAGTGGCAAAGGAGATGGCTAAAGCTAGGCTAAATGCTGAAGCTAGGCTAAATGTTTCACTCACTCGGTCGAATTGCATACAGCAAACTCAGATCCAATGGTTTCAATCTGCCAAAGGAGTTAACACCTCCCACGTGTTATCAGAGTTCAATGGAGCAAAACCAGTAAATGAAATGAGTACAATTGTGTGGTAAGACCAGGCTAGTACATGTGTGGTTTTTGCTGTATCTATTTCACCAGAACAGAGAGAGTGCTAGTTACCAACACTCTGTTTACTTGCTTGCAGTTAGTAAACATTTGGTCACTTTTCCTCAAACTTGTTTTTTTCTGTATTTTAGTTATATTCACCAGTTTATCATGAAGTAACTTCTCAGAATTCCAGTAGTTTCATCTTTCTGAGAGTTTGAGTGTTAAATCCACCAAGAAAGTCCCTGAATGCCCACAGAAAAGAGCTCAATCTCCAGGTTTGTGTTGCGCAGGTCACAAGTGCGGATAAAAATAGAGGTTTCCAGAATTGAAGGCCATTAAACTCCCGCAGTCACCGTTAACTCCTGGAAATGTCTTAACCACAGAAGACGTGTTTCACCTTAGGGATAAAAACATGTGCTGCTGTCTTTGTGAAGGGTGATTTACGGTAACGGATGAACTTTCTCTCTTCTAGTCAGGCAAATGACATCATCAGAGAGAGAGAGAGACCAGAGAGAGAGAAACCTGAGAGAGATCAGAGGGAGAGAGAACAGAAAGACCTGAGAGACATCAGGGAGATGTCTGAGAAAGACCAGAGAGATTTCTGAGCAATGTCAGAGAGGGAGACCAGAGAGAGAGAAACTTGAGAGAGACCAGAGAGAGAGATATCAGAAAGAGAGACTAGAGGGAGACCAAAGTGAGAGACTAGAGAGAGACATGTAGAAATTAGCGAGAGAGACCAGAGAGAGGTTAGAGTAATAGATCAGAGAGAGAGACCAGAGAGACAAACTGGAGAGACCTGAGACAGAGACAAGTCAGAAATAGAGACTAGAGGGAGAGATATCAGAAAGAGAGACTAGAGGGAGACCAAAGTGAGAGACATATAGAAATTGGCAAGAGAGACCAGAGAGAGTTTTGAGAGAGAGACCAGAGAGATAAACCGGAGAGACCTTAGACAGAGACAGACCAGAAAGAGAGACTATAGGGAGAGAAAAATGAGAGACTAGAGAGAGACAGAGAAATTAGCGAGAGAGATCAGAGAGAAAGACTAGGAGACCAAGTGAGAGACCAGAGAGAGAGAGAGAGATCAGGGAGGCAAAAAGAGGGACCAGAAAGATCAGAGAAAGACACACCATGAGTAGGACCAGAAAGAGAGAGACATACAGTTGCTGGTTATTATTGTAACGTATCCCTGCGATAAACCAGTGTATTTTTATTTTTAACTTTTTTTTCACAAATTGTTCCTCGCGAGACTGTCTCACTAATCTGTGTGCTGACCCTTGAGCAGAGCTGTCCTCCCTGGTGTCCCTCCTCCTCCTCCTCCTCCTCCGACAACGACTCCTCCTGGTCCCGTGTAGGAGTGCCCTGTCCTGTCACACCTGGCTGCTTTAAACATACAGCTCTTCTTGTTAATGCTTGGACGTCACCTGTGTTTGTGCTGAAATCTGCAGTGCGTACGTGTCCCGGAGCGGTCAGGGAGGGGGTAATGGTCAAAGACGGGCAGGTAGAGTGGTTAAAGAATGCCCAGGGTTGTACCGGTCCATGGTCCAGAGCTCAAGACAAGACAAGACAAGACGAGACGGGAGGTAAAGTAAGTAAGTAAGTAAGTAAGCTTTATTTATATACCGCCTTTCACAGACCAGAGTCACAAAGCGGTTTACAATTGTTATTTTTTTGGGCACTTGTCTCTCACTCCACACAGAGATGGGAGCGGGGCCGCCGAACAGGAGGCGCATGCCAGACCTATTGTACATATTTTTAGTGGTAGGGGAAACCGGAGTACCCGGAGGAAACCTACGCAGACACAGGGAGAACATGCAAACTCCACTCAGAAAGGCCCTGGTCCGGCCGGGATTCGAACCCAGGACCTTCTTGCTGAGAGGCGAGAGTGCTATCCACTCAGCCACCGTGCCGCCCAAAGAAGATGGTATTAGTTTATTTCAATAGGGAGAGTACGTCAAGGAAAAGGTGAAAAATGTTGACAAAAAAGACTGCAAATGTTACAAAATAAATGAACAAGAATTAGTTAAAATTTTCCAACGTTGTAAAAACAGGTCATTAAGACATTTAAAAAAAAAACACAACGACAAAATTCAAATCCTGAATGGACGATCGCACTGAGAAAGCTGATTGGCTGAAGGCACTTTTTCTCAGCCAACAAGAATATTTTAGTCTGGAAGAGAAGAAAATAGAAAGTGGTGATGAGGCCGGGTCTTTTATAGATATATAGGAGGATTTTCTACTTCTGGGTGGATCCTCAAGACTACTGGTCCTCCCAACTGTCAATCATTCTGGTGATGCATCAAATGGAGGGGGCGGTTCTTTCCTAAAGATCCTTTCCTAAAAATCCTTTTATATACCTTTAAGATGATAACAATCTTGGAATCTCACACCTTAACAACTCACACCAAGATTTTTTCAGTAAAACACGGCTTTCCCTGTGTGAAATTTGGTGACTTCAAAACCTGTGTTGAGTTTGAAACATCTCTGTGATGTGTCTGTATGCATAGGTATACGTCTGTTTGTATCTGTGTGCGTCTGTATGTATCTGTGTGCATCTGTATGTATCTGTGTGCGTCTGTTTGTATCTGTGTGCGTCTGTATGTAGTATCTGTGTGCGTCTGTATGTATCTCTGTGCGTCTGTTTGTATCTGTGTGCATCTGTATGTATCTGTGTGCATCCGTATGTATCTGTGTGCATCTGTATGTATCTGTGTGCGTCTGTTTGTATCTGTGTGCGTCTGTATGTAGTATCTGTGTGCGTCTGTATGTATCTGTGTGCGTCTGTTTGTATCTGTGTGCATCTGTATGTATCTGTGTGCATCTGTATGTATCTGTGTGCGTCTGTTTGTATCTGTGTGCATCTGTATGTATCTGTGTGCGTCTGTATGTATCTGTGTGCGTCTGTATGTATCTGTGTGCGTCTGTATGTATCTGTGTGTATCTGTGTGCGTCTGTATGTAACTGTGTGCATCTGTATGCATCTGTGTGCGTCTGTATGTATCTGTGTGCGTCTGTATGTATCTGTGTGCGTCTGAATGTATCTGTGTGCGTCTGAATGTATCTGTATGTATCTGTGTGCGTCTGAATGTATCTGTATGTATCTGTGTGCGTATGTATATATCTGTGTGCGTATGTATGTATCTGTGTGTATCTGTGTGCGTATGTATGTATTTGTATGTATCTGTGTGTGTATGTATGTATCTGTGTGCGTACGTATGTATCTGTGTGCGTATGTATGTATTTGTATGTATCTGTGTGCGTATGTATGTATCTGTGTGTATGTAAGTATTTGTATGTATCTGTGTGCGTCTGAATGTATCTGTATGTGTCAGTATGTATGTGTATGTTTCTATATGTGTCTGTATACGTCTGCATGCATCTGTTTGTGTATGTCTTGTCTTTTGTCTGGGGCTGGGTGTCCTGCTGCTCCCTGGAGAAATCCATCTCCCCCTCGTAGTCAGATCATTCTCCCCTGAACAAACACGTGATAATCTGTTGCCTTTTTACCGCTGTCAGAGAATAAAAAAAGACATCCAGAGATGCTCCTTCACCGCGGCGACACCTTAGCTTAATCCAGTTACAATATTTGAGCTGCTTCGCAAACAAATTGATATCATCAATTGTGGTGTTGGCAAATAGCGAAGCCAATCTGCTCATGAATGTTTATCTCCTCTAACACTCACCCACCTGCTAAGAGGTGCCACGCTTTAATGAAATTGTTTGGACTGGCGGCGCCCGTTGCTAAGGAACTGTGCGGGTCCTGGTCCTCCGCCGTGCCGTCCCTGTCATCACATAATGAGTGCAGATGAGCCCACCTCGAGGTGCTCCAGCCAGTGAAGGACGCGTCAGGGTAAGGGGGATTGGCAAGAGCACCGCGAGGCCGAGAGGCGAGGGCGGCTCGTTGAGGAGTCTTTGTGTAGTCCGCTTCTTGGCCCGGTTCTTGTGGTTCTTTTTGAAAAGCCCTGTGTGTAGCTGTTTCACTTAGAGCAAAGAAGGGATTGCCCTGGACTCTCTCTTTGGCCTCTGTCTGGTTTCTCTCTGGCATCTTCCTGGTCTCTCTTCAGTCTCTCTACCTGGTCTCTCTCCAATATCTCTCTGGCATCTCCTTGGTCTCTCTCTGTACCCTTTCGCCGGTCTCTCTCCCCGGTCTCTCTCCCCTCTCTCTCTCTGCTCTCTCAGTTCTTTTTCCTTGCCGATGGAGGAGGGTCTAAGAACGGTGATGATCCAGGTCTACATTCAACAACATTTATAAACATTGGTCTCTGCCCGTCATGGACCCAAGTCTCTTTGTATATTCTATCATTGCACTTCTTGCGTTTGAACTGTTTGATTCTCTGATCTATTTGGCCAATTCGGCGGTTTTGTCAAGTCCTGAGATATCTACTGTTGTGATTTATGGCTTTACAAGAATACATTCAATAGCTTCCCCTGTCAAGAGAGTAATATTGAAGGTGTGCCGAGTGGAATTTCACGCCTCCCGTCTTGGAACGTGGACAAGGTGCGCTCGGCTCGGACCTGTTTGATCGCGAAAGGCACCTCTCCAGACATTATCGCCGTCACAGTAACTTCTGAGGCGCGCGGTTCTGATGCGTTTTTGAAGCTCTCTCTTTCTCTATTTGCGCTCGCCGTTCCGCATGGCCGGGCCGTAGGTGAGTTGAAAGAGTGTTTTCAGGTGTCTCGCAAACACACACATGAAAACTACTAAAGACTTTTGAACATGGCTCGGTCCTTCCTGCAAACATCTGGGAACCACTTCAGGGGATTTTATGCCTTGCACAAGAACTGAATGTGAAGTAGATCCGTGTGCGGGCATATTAGAGAAAAAAACAAGAAGGTTTTGGGTGCCACATGAGAAAAAACAGTCATCAACAAGGAAAGAATTGAGTTTTTCTCGCAACATTTTTGACTCAATTCAATTTAATGTAACTGTGTATTGCCCTGAAACACAACAGCAGTGTTTTTTATAAAGTTGTGGATTTGCCAACAACAGATCAGAGAATCAAACGGGAAATGCAGTAAAAATAAACAAGTAGCAGCTAGTGATACATACAGTACAGGGAGCGGGATGACCACTGTCCAAAAAATGTGAATGAATGTGGAAAAAATGGTTCTAGATCCAGGACTGAGGCTGTAGATCCAGATCCATTGAAATTTGGTAAAACTGGCAAACCATTAAACAGAGTCATTAGAACTCTCGCAAAACAAGGTTCTGGGTTTGGGTTGGGCAAGGGGCCTTTCTGAATTTGCATGTTTTTTTCCGGGTGTGAGTAGTTTCACTTCAGGTGCTGCTGGTTATTTCACCCACTTTCCCCAAAACTAGTGATTTTGCCCCGACCTCTTAGCCCACCTTCAACCATTAGGGTGGAAGAGAAATGTACACAATCAAGATAAGACCTTGCCATTCTCTGCTGCCAATGATAAAACATAGGGGTGTGAACAGGGTCTGATTTTTAAGTCTTATATATATATTTGTTGTGTAGTTGTGGGACTGTATCTGAAATCAAACAGTGAAAGAGCAGACAGAAAGCTGGTATTTGGTGATTTGTAAAATTTAGTGCTGCGCCATTTGACTTAACCAACGCGTGAAGGAAAAAAGCATGTGAGAAAAGTCTGAGAAAAGAGAACTCAGATTCCAAAATACCTCTTGATAATTCACTGTGAGAGTTGATTTCCCTTGGATTTGCTCAGATGAAGAGAAAGTGATTTGTGATAACAGCGTCCCTCCCTCTTTCTCAGTCTCTCTTTGCCTCCCCCCTTCCCATCGGTCGCCTCGGTAATGAGCTCTGGACGCCCCCCTCGGCTGTCTCTCGCCTTGCTCTGCGACTGTAGGTGAGCAACTGGACAATGGCTCACGGTTTAGTGCGGCGAACTCCACAGGCCCGGCTCAATCACTGGTAGGCAGGAGGGCCGAACGTCTATAGATCAGCCGTGGCGATCCATAGGGGTGCGAGGCCTGGACAACCTTGCCGCCTTAAAAAAAAACTCCATTTAAGGTAGCGCTATTGGCCTATCGCCGCATGTTTGGATCAATGGGATCGCTCTTAATGGAAAATAATTGAAGTCTTCCTGAGCGCGGCACAATGCGGCGACCGGTGAGGGATGTTTTTAATCCAGGAGCGCGCACTAACCGCAGACGTCAATTGACAAGTCTCTGTTTTCTAAGGCTCCCAGGCATCCGCGCGATAATTACTAATGCTGCCGAACAGAGAAAAGAAAATCTCACTATAGAAGCTTCTATAGAGGACAGAGAATGCAGACACATGGGGCGGTACAGTGGCGCAGCGGCGAGAAAGCTATCAAGTGCAGGGTTCGATCCCACCTCCAGGCCTTTCTGTTTGCACATTTTTTCCCCTGTGTTGGTTTCCTCCAGGTGCTCCGGTTATTCCTCAACCACTAAAAAAACCATGGACAATAGGTCTGAATGTTGAATGTAATGCGTGAGTGAGTGGAAAAGAGGGTTCGGCGATTGGGGGCTTTGATACCAGAGGGTTTTGTTTTCACATTTTACCCCTTGTCTGCATTGGTTTCCTCCAGGTGCTGCGGGTTCCCCTACCACAGACAAAAGGGCAGTGGGTCTGAATGTAATGCGTGAGTGGATGGCGATGGAGGCTTCGATACAAAAGGGTTCGGCGTCTCGCTTCTGTGCTCACCGTGAGTGGGTAATAAAATCAATCCATTTTATTTATATATTTTTAAAAGTGAAACGTTTTAAATGTTTTTCAAAGTGCTGAAAAAAGTGACACATTCAATAAACAGCTTTGCCAGCTTTATATGAATAACAAAAATATATACAAAAATAAGAACAGGCAAAACACTTGGAATGTGTCTGGTGAATGGTTGGTGGTGGTCAGAGGGATCGATGGAACAGACTGGTTGCCTCGCTTCTGTCAGAGTGCCCCAGGGCAGCTGCGGCTACAGTAAGCCACGGAATAATGACACATAGAAGGTCTTTGAGTGCACAAAACAGCGCTATATTGTTACTTTCTGTGTTAATATAGCGCAGAACTGTATATGAAATTAGTCGAAGGTTGTTGATAGCCTTACAGAGAAGCTAATTTTTGTTATAAACGTATTAAGGGGTTAGGATTAAATAAGTTGTCTTCTTCCTACTCTCTTTCAGGCAACTATTTTGGTATATTTTGGTATATTTTTTATTTGTATGCATGTTAGCAATGCTTTATTTATTTTCGTTGGAAACTATGATGGACAAGAGGTGACTTGTGCCTTATGTGAAATGCACACACTCGGTTCGTCTCATGATCTTTCTCTAATGTAAACGTAGCCGAGAAATAACAGGAGAAATAAATGTCATCCTCATCGGCCTCGGCTCCAAGATCAGATAAAAATTCTATGGTCGGCCGCGGCAACCGGAATCAATCGTCACAATCAGGGCCCGCAGGTCGTTCTCTCTCCCTTTGGTTCAATGCTCTTGCCGCCTTTGTGCCCGCTGAGGACACTCAATAGAGCCGTGGAAGTGGGCTCTTAAGAGACGCTCGGTGTAATGAGGGTAAATATAGCTGAAGGTAAATGAACACATTAGGGCAGGTTCTCAACCTGAGGGCAGCGGGCTCCCATTCAGCTCAGAGTGGTTCAGCACAAACACAGGAGAGGCGGCTTTGTGCTGCGGACGGCGACATGTGTCCTGCCGGATCTGTCATGTGGGATGGAAAAGGCAAGGCTTGGTTAATTGTATAGCACGTTTCATACATACATACACACACACACACATGCACACACACATGCACACACGCAAAAGGCATTAAAATCAGTTATAATCACAGTGCAGAAAAAAAGAGTGGCGATTGAAAGCTTCTGTTGTTTTTTTCTGGTTGTGTCAATTGTCAGAGAAAAGGCCTGTCTCACATTTTCAGGAAGACTGTTCTAGATTATTGCTGCATGAATCTGAATTGCTGCCTTCTTCATGCTTAGTCCTGACACTGGGACCAGCAGGAGGCCAGTCCCTGTGCTCCTCTGAGTTACCAGAAGGAAACAAATGCTTGCGTTATTTGTGCTTCTACTGTACATCTAAAAAAATAAAGAAAAGAAAAATGGCAAGGAGTGAACATTAACACTAGGACGACCATACTTTTGAAACTTCTAGACTCCCGGAGCTGTCATTTAATGGAATTCTGAGAAATTATCCCAAAGAATGTTTTGTTATTGTTTGGATTATTAAATGCTAGTAATGTACAGGTTGTTTTTTTTCTTTTTCTTTTTTTCATGGCCTTATTTTTGTGCTAGAACTGGTCATTATAACTGAAATACAGCAAATAGTGAAAGATCATTTCAAAAAAGGTAATTACACAAAAGTAAACTAGAAATGTATGTATTTATTTAACCCGGAAATTCCCATTAAGATCCTCTTTTTCAAGGGAGTCCTGGACAGAAACAGGAAAAGACACAAAGTTACGAAGACCAAGAAAGCTCATGAGAGGAGTAACTACACTTTCAAAACTGAAACGCTGTGTGAGTTCTAGTGTTAAACCTTGTCTAACCTCGGGTCAAAATGTCCCACAACAGTCATTAAAAATAGAAGAAAAAAAGCCTCAATTTGGGGCTAAAAAGGGTCTAAACAACCCCGGGCTGGTCACGTCGGGGAAAAAAGGGTAAAAAATCAGCTTGAAAACAAATTAGGGTATTTTTTAACTGCTGTGGAATCAGAGAGACCGTGACCAGAGAGAGAATGAAGAGAGAGCGGAGAGAAAGAGAGTGGGGCCAGAGAAAAAAAGTTGAAGAAAAGTACCCTTAATTCGGGTCTAAATGGGTCTAAATAACCCAGAGCTGGTTTTCAAGCTGGTCAAAATCAACTTGAAAAAAAATTACTTATGGTATTTTTTTTCAATTTGCCTCAAGGTTCTCGCAAAAGGCCTCAGCGTCGGCCGCACACACCTACGGCCCGCTGAGCTATCTCCTGTGCGCGCGGCGAGTACACATCCGCCGTCTCATTGCAATGCGGCGGCTGCGCTCTGACCCGCGGTTCCCCTCGCGTCAAGCCCTGACACAGACGAAGCCCCGCGCTGCTGCCCCCGCTTTCCCCTTCGCCTCGCACCTCTGTCATCTCCCTGACAACCCCCAGCGCGCGCAACACGGAAATAAACACGTGTCGACCACCCCTCACCACCCGGCAGAATATTAATGCGGAATCGGCCCCGGCCCTCGCGCCTGCGTTTGTCACCGTCGCGGCGCTTTGATTGATGAGAAAGAAAGCGATCGGCGCGGCGGAGATGGACAGCCGGGTTTTTCATTTGTCAAGTATATTTGGGACGTGCATGCGCGGCTGTTCAAGCGCTGTTTCTTCTTCTTATTGTATTAATGTAGCAACTTTGTTCAGGGGCAACGTCAAACCTCTTGCTGTGATCAGCGCGCTAAGCTTTGAGATGTCTCAGGTCTCTCTTTGGTTTCTCTCTTCTCTCTCTCTCTCTCTCTCGGGTCCCTCTCTCTCTGCTTTCTCTCCGCTCTCTCTCTCTCTCTTTGGTCATGGTTTCTCTGGTTCCTCTCCACTATCTCTCTTTGGCCTCTCTCTGGTCACAGTCTCTCTGGTTTCTCTTTGCTCTCTTTCTTTGGCCTCTATCTGGTCACAGTCTCTCTGGTTTCTCTTTGCTCTCTTTCTTTGGCATCTATCTGGTCACAGTCTCTCTGGTTTCTCTTCGCTCTCTTTCTTTGGCCTCTATCTGGTCACAGTCTCTCTGGTTTCTCTTTGCTCTCTTTCTTTGGCCTCTATCTGGTCACAGTCTCTCTGGTTTCTCTTTGCTCTCTTTCTTTGGCCTCTCTCTGGTCACAGTCTCTCTGGTTTCTCTTTGCTCTCTTTCTTTGGCCTCTCTCTGGTCACAGTCTCTCTGGTTTCTCTTTGCTCTCTTTCTTTGGCCTCTCTCTGGTCACAGTCTCTCTGGTTTCTCTTTGCTCTCTTTCTTTGGCCTCTCTCTGGTCACAGTCTCTCTGGTTTCTCTTTGCTCTCTTTCTTTGGCCTCTATCTGGTCACAGTCTCTCTGGTTTATCTCCACTCTCTTTCTTTGGCCTCTCTCTGGTCACAGTCTCTCTAGTTTCTCTTTGCTCTCTTTCTTTGGCCTCTATCTGGTCTCAGTCTCTCTGGTTTCTCTCAGCTCTCTTTCTTTGGCCTCTCTCTGGACGCAGTCTCTCTGGTTTCTCTCCGCTCTCTTTCTTTGGCCTCTCTCTGGTCACAGTCTCTCCTGTTTCTCTCTGCTCTCTCTTTCTGGCCTCTCTGGTTACTCTCTGGCCCCTCTCTCTCTCTGCTCTCTCTCTGCTTTTTCTCCTCTCTCTTTCTTTGGCCTCTCTCTGGTCACAGTCTCTCTGGTTTATCTCAGCTCTCTTTCTTTGGCCTCTCTCTGGACGCAGTCTCTCTGGTTTCTCTCCGCTCTCTTTCTTTGGCCTCTCTCTGGACGCAGTCTCTCTGGTTTATCTCCACTCTCTTTCTTTGGCCTCTCTCTGGTCACAGTCTCTCCTGTTTCTCTCTGCTCTCTCTTTCTGGCCTCTCTGGTTACTCTCTGGCCCCTCTCTCTCTCTGCTCTCTCTCTGCTTTTTCTCCTCTCTATTTCTTTGGCCTCTCTCTGGTCTCAGTCTCTCTGGTTTCTCTTCGCTCTCTTTCTTTGGCCTCTCTCTGGTCACAGTCTCTTTGGTTTCTCTCTGCTCTCTCTTTCTGGCCTCTCTCTGGGCACATCCGGGACTAGCATGCGCGGGCACTGAAGCAGCCATTTCTCTTATTGTATTACCAACTGTCAAGACCGCAGCTTTAAACCTCGACTGGAGATGTGTCTCCCACTGACAGACGTATCAATGTCTGACCCGCAAATGACGAGACTCGGGAATTGACGACTCCTGAACGTGAGTGGCTCTTTTCTCCCTGCTTCCCGACATGTGTATAATTTCATTTCTGCAAGTGCATAAAGCGGTCCTTTCTCTCTGCTCTCTCTGGTCTCTATCTGGTCCCTCTCTCTGGTCTCTCTCTGATCTCTCTGGTCTCTATCTGGTCCCTCTCTCTGGTCTTTCTCTCTCTCTCTCTGGTTTCTCTCGTCACTCTTTGGCCTATCTCTGCTCTCGCTCTCTCTCTCTGGGTCTCTCTCTGCTCTCTCACTCTGGTCTCTCTCTCTCTTGTCTCGCTCTGCTCTATATCCCTGGTTGCTCTTTGGCCTCTCTCTGCTCTCTCTCTCTCTATTATCTCTCACTACTCTCTCTCTCAATAGTCTCTCTCTCTGCTCTCTCTCTCTGGACCCCCTCTCTAGACACACTCGCCGGACTAGCATGCGCAGGCACCGAAGCGGTCATTTCTCTTATTGTATTAGCAACTTTCTCCTGTCATGACCGCAGCGTTAAACCTCGACTACAAAAAGCCGCTGAGATGTGTCTCCCACCGACAGACGTATCGATGTCTGACCCGCAAATGACGAGACTTGGGAATTCACAACTCCTGAACGAGAGTGGCTCTTTTCTCCCTGCTTCCTGAGTCGCGCATAATCAAATTCCCGCAAGTACATAAAGCGTCCCAGCGGCTAATGTTGCCGAGATAAGTGAGTTAACATGGCCGCAGACAGGAGCAAGGGGAGTGGTCCGAGACTATGCAGATTCTTCCCCGTTGAGCTCCCTTACCACCTTGCGCGCGCTACCCCTCGCCCCGCGCGGTAATTGGGGCTGTCCGCTCGAGGTTTTGCACATCACCTAAGAAACCTAAGCTGTCACAAAGTGTTCCTATTAAAACGGACGAGCGGAGATAAGAGCCCAAAGTCCTTCTCTTTCCCAGTGTCTGTCTGAGTAGATCAGTCTGAGGCGAGACATTTGAGCCCCGCGGCGGCGCATTCTCCAAAAGTACAAGGTAAATAGCGCTTTTTTATAAACGCTGCTCAAATCGTCTAATGCGCCGTGTAGCATAAACGCAAAGGAATTTCTCGTTTTTCTTGCCGCGGGACTCAAACTCCTCCGACAAAACCTATACACAGTAACAGCACTTGACGTTTGTATTCAGAATTGCCAATAGCCAATAATGTGCCCAGATTTCAAAGATAGAAGAGACACTAATAAATAACCCGTTGAAGTATGAAAAAATTGTTCCGTGATAACCGCACTGCTTGGGGGAAATTGTTTTTTGGAGGCTGCCAGTTTTTACAGAGAGAGAAACGAAAGATTTAGTGCCGATACAAAGATATGGATAATAAATCATTAGGAAAAAAAAGTCTCTATACCGAGCTCATATGACATCGTTCATCACTAACATGACAACGGTGGAAAAAACATTTTATGGCCTGTCGTTACCGTCGCTCTAACGGCTCACTCAAAGTCAACCAAGGAATTAAATGGACTTTTTAATTGTGCTTTAAAATGTATATATACGTGTATGTACATAACCATTAGGAGCCATAAACTCATGCCAGATCTGAAGTAAAGTGTCCCAGTAGAAAGAATCAACATTTATTTAACATTAAATTAAAATAAATACGTGGTTCAAAAAGGGGTTGGATGAAGCAGAAGCAGGTAGAAATCCAAACTTGTTCACCAAAATGATGTTTGACCTTGGTCTGTTGAATGCTTTTATATAAATAATAAAGATTTCTAACTTAAAATCCCAAAGAAGTTGATTTTTATATGTTTTCTTGACACACTGGGGTTTTTGTAAATGTATTCCAGTGTGGTTTTACTGATGGCAAATGGAATAGTAAGTGTTTATTTCAAAATATTTTTTACTTTTTAATCATGCAGCTGAAGAAAAATTTTCTTGTTTAAAAAAAAGAAAAAAAAAATCTTGTTTGATGAAATCTTAGCAAGTGGAAAATTCATGATCCACTGGCAGATCAAATACATTACCTGCAACAGTAGCTATTTTTTCTTCTTTTAGTGTGGACTTGTGTGGCTCCATTCTTGTGGCTTGAAAGTTACATACCCCAGCTTTAAAAGTGGGTCATCTATTGTGTATAAATTGGGTCATGTGAAAAAACCCAAAAGAAAAAAATCATGCACAAATTTTAACTAAACTAAACCCCAAAATAGAAAGAAAATCCACATAATTCCAGGTAAACTAATCAACTAATCCCCCCCCAAAAATCTTTTTTTTTACCCAAAAAGGAAAAAAAACACAAAATTCCAACTAAACTAAACACAAAAAAGAAAGACAAAATGCACACAAAATTCCAACTGAACCAAACCTAAAAACAAAAAGAAAAAACTCCACAAAATTACAACTAAATTAAACCTAAAAAAAACTACACTTATACTAAAAGAAACAAAAAAATCCCACCAGCTTCCACATTAACAAGCTGGTGGAAGCCCCCCCAAAAAAAGAATTCCCACAACATTTTTGCTAAACTAACCCCAAAAAAGCCCCACAAAATTCCAGCTAAACTAATAAAAAAAGGAAAAATAATCTCACAAAATTCCATCTAAAAACTAATGAACTAATCCCCCCATAAAATCCTACTTAGTGTAACCCAAATAGGACAAAAAATCCACAATATTCCAACTAAACTGAACACAAAAAAGACATAACAAATTCCTGCAAAATTCCAAATGAACTAAAACTAAAAACAAAAACACAAAATTCCACAAAATTCCAACTACACTCATGGTAAAAGAGAAAAATCCCATCAACTTCCACATTAACAAACCCCAAATAATAAAAAAAAATCCCACAAAATTCCAGCTAAACTAATAACAAAAGAAAAAAAATCACGCAAAATTCATTCTAAACTCTCCCAAAAAATTGTATAATCTGATATGGTGTCTCCGGTCTGTGGCTAATCAGGATCCGGCCCCTAATGCCTCAATATGTGACGACTCATTTGTCAGCTTTGCCTTCTGCTCGGACTTCCCCCCTGAACGCTTCTCTCCTCTCCGCTCTCCTGCTTGTTGTCGATGTTTTCCCCTTTTCCTACAACTGTGTATTTTGCGAAAGCTTTAGACTCTCATTAAATCAACCGAGCAACAGCAAGCCTCTATAAACATCAAATCTATAAATTGCACGGATGGTCTTACGCTAGGTTTCAGACAGCGCTCTCCTTTGATGAAAACTTCTGGGACAAAAACAGAAAAATAACTAGAGATTCTGAGGCAAGAAGAGAAGATGGGAGAAAAAAAAAAGTCTTGTTTTGACACTAAGATTAATTTACAAGTTTTCTCTGACTTGCGGAGGGTGCGGTGGGGTGTGTGTGGGGGAGAGAGATGGGAGCGGCGAGCAAGATGAGAGGAGCGTTTGATATTTATTAGGCCTGGACCTCGGCAAAGACCTCTCCCAGGACTGCCATGTGACAATTAAGCCAGGTTGTGCTTTGACACTGTTTCCATAGGCAAGTGGCCAAAGTGTATCTCCAGTCAAAATACCCAGGCCCGGCTAACAAGCTTGTCCTCACGCCGGCGAAAGGCAAAGAAGAAGAAGAAGAAGAAAGGGACTCGGGTTTTTTACAGCCCAGCAAGAAAAAAAGAAAAGAAGGAGCACATGGGGGCTGTGGCCTGAGAGCGTGGGGAGACCGAATTAAAGAAGCCACGCCCCCTTCGTGTATAGTAAGAGAGGTCCGCACGCTAAAGTGCAAGCGATAACACGAGATAACTCAATGTTGTGTTTTATAGTTTCATAGGAAAGGCTGACGAAATGCAAGAAATTATAAGAAAAAACACGAAGGAGATATTGGTTCATAGAGACCAGGGCTGAGGCTGTAGATCCAGGACTGAGGCTGTAGATCCAGGACTGAGGCTGTAGACCCAGGACTGAGGCTGTAGACCCAGGACTGAGGCTGAAGACCCAGGACTGAGGCTGTAGACCCAGGACTGAGTCTGTAGATCCAGAACTGAGGCTGTAGATCCAGAACTGAGGCTGAAGACCCAGGACTGAGGCTGTAGACCCAGGCCTGAGGCTGTAGATCCAGAACTGAGGCTGAAGACCCAGGACTGAGGCTGTAGACCCAGGCCTGAGGCTGTAGATCTAGGACTGAGTCTGTAGATCCAGGACTGAGGCTGTAGACCCAGGACTGAGGCCGTAGATCCAGAACTGAGGCTGAAGACCCAGGACTGAGGCTGTAGACCCAGGCCTGAGGCTGTAGATCTAGGACTGAGTCTGTAGACTCAGGAATGAGGCTGTAGACCCAGGACTGAGGCTGTAGATTCAGGACTGAGGCTGTAGATCCAGGACTGAGGCTGTAGATCCAGGACTGAGGCTGTAGACCCAGGACTGAGGCTGTAGATCCAGGACTGAGGCTTTAGATCCAGGACTGAGGCTGTAGATCTAGGACTGAGTCTGTAGATCCAGGACTGAGGCTGTAGATCCAGGACTGAGGCTGTAGACTCAGGAATGAGGCTGTAGACCCAGGACTGAGGCTGTAGATTCAGGACTGAGGCTGTAGATCTAGGACTGAGGCTGTAGACCCAGGACTGAAGCTGTAGACCCAGGACTGAGGCTGTAGACCCAGGACTGAGGCTGTGGACCCAGGACTGAGGCTGTAGACCCAGGACCGATATCAAAGGCCTTAAAAAATGACCAAAAAAATCTATATACGTAATTTTTTTTGCATTAATCCTCTTTTATAATTTGCATGCACGGTCTCCAGTCTGTTATTCATAAAAAGATTATTTTTTTGGTCATATTTTTCAGTCTGTTTTGTATTTTTGTATTTCATTTCCTGACTTTGAACCCCGGCAAGAAAGGTGAAAACAAAACCTCTTGATGTCAGAACCTTTGCACGAAAACAACTTTGGACTGCATTTGCATCATCCTCCTGTACGTGTGATGAAGGTGTTGTGTGTGCGGGGCTTCGGACCGGCCCCGGGGCCCCTGGGTCTGCACTTCCTTTTGTTCCCTGGTAATGACCCTGGCCTTGTGCTACAGGCAGCACCTTGTTTGGCCCCGTCACCCTCTCTCTCTCTGTCCTGTCTCTCCCTGTCTTTCTCTCTCTCGGTCTCTCTCTCCCTCTCTCTCTGTCCTGTCTCTCTCTGTCTCTCTCTGCCACTGTCTGTCTCTCTTTCTTTCTCTCTCTCTCTGTCCTGTCTCTCTCTGTCTCACTCTCTCTCTGTCTGTCTCTCTGTTTTGTTCTCTGTCTCTCTCTCTCTGTCTGTCTGTCTCTCCCTCTCCCTATGTCTCTCTCTGTCTCTCTCTCTCTGTCTGTCTCTCTCTCTCTGTCTGTCTCCCTCTCTCTCTGTCTCTGTATCTCTCTGTTTCTCTCTCTGTCAGTGACTTGCTCTCTCTCTATCTCGCTCTTTGTCTGTCTCTCCCTCTCTCTCTCTCTCTTTCTCTTCCTCTCTCTCTCCACGCTAATTTCTCTCTCTCTCTCTCTCTCACTCACTAACTCTCTCTCTTCCTCTCTCTCCTTTCTACTTTCCAATGCTCTCTTTCTCTCTCTCTTCCGCTCCATGTTCATTGCTCTCTCTCTCTCTCTCTCTCTCTGCTCTCCACGTTCATTGCTCTCTCTCTCTCTCTCTCTCTCTCTCTCTCTCTTGTCTACTCTCTTGTCTTAGAGGAGCTCATGTCGCACACAAAGCCCATCCAAACTCATTAAGAGGTATTTACAAAAGCTCTCCTCTTCGGCCCGCGGATATCAAGTCTCATTAGGTGACCGCACTTGACGGGGTTGCGAAAACAAAAGGCGCGCTCGCTTTTGAAAAGGTTTATGTCCCGCGAAGGGCCTCACGTTTTTACCTCGCCACCAGCCCCCCCTCCCCCCATCCTCCTCCCCCGCCAGGACTAATGACTGGGTCTTCGCTGCGGAACCAGTCGGAGGTGCGATCCACTGACGGGAGAGGGGACCCAGACAAAGGGCCTCCGCTCTGGGGGCCAGGTGATCGCGGCTGCCCTGGTTTCGTGGCGCACAAAAGGCCTCACAGACAGATTGTAAACAGCGATTGCACGGGTGGCTATTGTCGTGGAGGACCGTCCCATTGCGGTCTTTCCCTGTGGATCCAAGTACAGTGGAAAGAAAAAAATATAACATTCTGAAAGATTTGGCCTTGGAGTTTTTAAATTCTATATCTGGAAGCTCTACTTGAGAGGGACTGTGAAAGCTGCTGAGGTTACTTCGAACCAAGGACTGTATATATTCACAGACTTAGACACGGAAATCTCCACCGAAGAAACTACTCTGCCACCACTTTTGCCTTCTGTGGCTTTTTCAAAATGGCCACACGGAAAGAAAATTCAAAAGTCCACAGCGGCTAAACTAGACTGGTCCAAAAAAAATTATAGTGCCCTCAGCATCAACAGCATATGGAACGTAGCTTTAAACCAAGAGCTACTCTTGGACGTAGAGACACTTTTGGACCAAGAGCCACTTTTGGACCAAGAGCCACATTTGGACCAAGAGCCACATTTGGACCAAGAGCCACTTTTGGAGCAAGAGCCACTTTTGGACCATCCTGTGAAGAGGTTTTTGAGCGGAAAGAAGACACCATACAAAAACATTGGGTAATTCTCTTTCCGGGTACACCCCCACCAGCCCGCAGTGACATTGCAACATGTAAGCGCACCAGCTCATGGACCTTTCGGAGCCGAAACCCGCCCACACTGGTTCAAAACACAGGAAATGCATGAAGAACGGACAGTAATTGTTACAAGCAGAAAACATTGTGCCAGTCGGTGAATTCATATTTGTTTTGTTTTTGACACGTGAGAAGATGTGTTTGGATGTTTTGAGGGTACTCTCTCTGTCTCTGTCAATCTCTCTCTCTCATTCTCCGTCTCTCTTTCTGTTTCTATCTCTCTCTCTCTAATTCTGTCTATCTCTGACTCTCTCTCTCCCTGTCTCTCTCTTTCAATCTCTCTCTCTCTGACTCTCACTCACTCTCTCTCTTTGTGTCTCTCTCTCTAACTCTGTCTCTCTCTCTCTTTCTCTCTTTAACTCTGTCTCTCTTTCTTTCTCTCTCTCTCTCTCTTTCTCTCTCTCTTAAACTCTGTCTCTCATTCTGTCTCTCTCTAACTCTCTCTCTCTAACTCTCACTCTCTCACTCTCTCACTCCCTGTCTCTCTCTGACTCTCTCTTTCTATCTCTCTCTCTCTGACTCTCACTCACTTTCTCTCTTTATGTCTCATTCTCTCTGTCTCTCTTTCTGTCTCTCTCTCTCTCTTTCTCTCTCTCACTCACTCTGTCTATCTCATTCTGTCTCTCTCTCTCTCTCTAAAACTCTGTCTCTCTTTCCGTCTCTCTCTAACTCTCTCACTCCCTGTCTCACTCTGACTCTCTCTCTCTCACTCTGACTCTCTCTCACTCTGACTCTCTCTCTCTCTCTGACTCTCTCTCTCTCTCTCTGACTCTCTGTGTGTGTTGGGCAAGGCAAGTTTATTGTCTGGCACAGTTTAAACACGAGGCAAAGTGCTGAACAAAACAAACCATGGACTAGACAGAAACAAACACGATCTTTCACATTTCTTCTCTTCTCTTGTTTCTTTTAGATCTCTGAGTCTCCTTGTGTCTGAACTGTGCTTTATACAAATTACCTTCCTTCAGTTGATCCCAAACCTCGACCTCATTCAGACGTGTATTCGATCCAACATTCCCATCTCCAGACCTGTCACATCAACAACATCCCACAGTAGCATCGAGTTCATATCACTTTGCGTCTCTCTGTCCCTTCCGGTCCGTCTGTAAACGCACACAGTGGACTTGTCACATCGAGCGTTTATTTGGTCAATTCTGACACGTCTTCACACCGAGCCGGGCACCGCACTCACAACAATGCCAGCGCCGATGCTCCACACAAACGTACATGTGTGTTATGAGCCCTGACAACGACGAACGGGAGGGGTTGGCGGGCCCGAGGGGGAGGTTTTTTTCTTTTCTTTTTTGGGTTGCATGCCCATCACGTCCGTCTGGAAGTCGGCGTGGCCTCGGGCGAACGGGAGACGGTGCGAGGGTCTTTCGGAGCGCGAGCAGCCAACGCAAAAGTAGAATCGGTAAAAGGGCAAAAGTCATCCGTTCTGTGAAGATTTTAAGGGTGGGGGAGGGGTGTTTTTGGTTCAACGCAAATTGTTTAAAATACTGCCGGGTTCCGTGTATCATACTAATGTAGTAACGTGAATAAAATGAAGGAGAATCCATATCGAGGTCAGATTGTGCGTGACTTTGTCCAGGCATCATTTCTCCGGCCGAATATTTGCAAATATATGAATTTGAATGTCTGTAAAATGTCTGTAACTTTAACCTCTTCAAACTAGAACTTTTCGCCGATGTGCAATGATGACTAACTAACCAGGCCCTGCCCTGCTTAGCTTTAGAGGTCGGACTGGATCTGGCTTTCACCTGCAGTTGGCGTTACAAAATGGAGACCGTTGAAGCTAAGCAGGGCAGGACCTGGTAAGTACTGTGACAGGAGACCTCTAGGAACTATACATTGGGGGGCGACTGTGGCTGTAAAGCACCAAAATGTTGTTGTGTCCTTAGGCAAGACACTTCACCAGATTTAGAAAGAGTCTTGTATGTGTGATATTAGCCCAGAATGTCATGTAGAGGAGGTTTGTCTCAGAAACCAACTTTTATCAGCGACTGGTTTTGACTGTTATTGTATATGTTTCTTGTTTGAGTAATAGATTGGAGTGACATAAGAGTATTCTCAATCCATCCCTTTTCAAAACTTCCAGTGCATGGGGTATTCAACTATACGCACCTCAAAGGGTTGTAGGTTTTCGATCTGAACAAAGCAGTAGCTCACCAGACTCCACCCATTTCCTCAAGGCCTCAGGACGAGACCGGACTCACTTGAGGAAATGGGTGGGGTCTGGCGTGCTACATCTTGTTCGGAATAAAAACCTACAGCCACTTGTTAGCCCTTTGAGTTGCCGTGTGTATAAACTGCAGTACAAATAAACTTGCCATGCCTTGCCCTGTTCTCCAATAAAAAAAATAAAAAAACTGCAGCATTGTCTAGATAACTGCTTTGCAAATCATAAAATCATGTATATTTCTGCCCAAGTCGAAACATTAGACCTGATTTTTGCCGTACTGCTTTGATTATTGTTGTTTTTTCAAGAATTGTACTGTTTTTTTGGTGAGATTCTGGTGAATAATGTGTGACTCTAAGACAGATTGGCCTGACCTTTGTGCTCCGCTCTCTCTCGCTGGGAGCCGGTGAGAAATGGCCCCTGTATCTGACTTTGACAAGAGTTTATTTACTTGCTCATAAATGGCCTGTGCTGCTGTTGTAGTTTCAGAGAGAGAGAGAGAGAGAATTAGGAACAGAAAGGAGCTGGCATCTTTCACCGAGATGTGTTTCGGGTCCTGACAAACGTACGATGAATCGACTGAGATCTGGAGTCCAACTTTGAACAAGAAGAAAAAGATTTTAGAAAAAGAAGTAGTAAGCCTTGTTGCTCTCAAGGATTTTGCTCGTACGTCGTAATCGCTGGAAGCCAGATTGGAATCTTCTGCCCTGCATTCTTAAAAAGCTTTCCCATGCTTACTCATATCAGCCTTACACTCATTTATACCTATTTGTTTTCTTTCCTCCAAAGTGAGTGGGAAAGTGCTCTGAAGTCTGGTCCGTCGCCATTACCAGCAAAGCTCTGGTTGTAAACACTCTGTCAACAGGATGACTTTGGCACTTTGGAGTTAAGTGAATAGAATGGACTTTGTAGTGATGTTTTGGTGTCTTTTTACCCGTAATTCTTTGGGTTAGTCGGCTGGAATTACATTTAAGTACTAATGAAGCCCATTCCAGTGCGTGTGTGCGAGAAAAACCCAGACTCCACGTGAAGATGTAGAGACGATACAGCGCAGGTTTATATTGATGACTTTTTTGTTCTCTCCTCAGTCACAGAGATGAAGTTGGTTTTAGATCCGTCCACACTGATGTTAGAGACTTCTAGTGCAAATATGTAACTGCGCCTCAGTCCTGGGTCTACAGCCTCAGTCCTGGATCTACAGCCTCAGTCCTGGGTCTACAGCCTCAGTCCTGGATCTACAGCCTCAGTCCTGGGTCTACAGCCTCAGTCCTGGGTCTACAGCCTCAGTCCAGGATCTGGGATTTTTAAATAGTTCCTTACCAATTCTAGATGCACATTTTTAACATTTATGGGGAGCTAATATCCCACTTCTACGGACAAATGGCTCCTATCTATTTGGTATTCTTGAATTGCCTGTGGTTGAACTGTTTGATTCTCTGTTTCTAAAGTCGACGACTGCTGTTGTGATTTAGGGTAATACATAAACATAATGTTTCTCAACCTGCCTGTCTCTTCTTCCATTTTCAATGTTTATCCATGTTATGTCTGTATTTTTTTATTTCACTTTCAAAAACAAGCTAAACTACAGACTCTAGATGGTGTTTTAGACCAAAAAGCAGACACAGGATTGCATTGTCTTTCCTCTTTTACAGTTCACAAAGTGCTGTTGTGAGTCGGAACATTCTCCATTATCACAGTTACATCTTCTTTCTGCGGCTATCGAGAGGAAGTATTCGATTATGGCGTTGGCCTGAGTCCAGCCGTGTCTTACAGCCACTGATCATGTCTGAAAAGTGTTTCAAGTCTGTAAGAAAAGATGGAATGTCCCCTGGGCTTGAACACGAGCAGCGAGAGCCTACGCTAAACACATTAGGTCCATGTCCGAATCTCGATGTCGTACGCTCATAGACTGAAGCTCGGCCTTTTGTCCATGTTGGGAAGGCAAGTTTTTTTATACAGCACAGTTTATACACAAGGTTTAACAAAGCAAGATGCAAAAAAAATCACACAACGCAGAGGATATTGCGCTGAGGAGCAGGACTAAGGACTATGGGAAGACCAGAGGGAGTCCAGAGAGAGTCCAGAGAGACACCAGAAATACCAGAAGGGACTTTTGGACACTCAAAGACGCTTCACATGTCATTCTTCAGTCACTCCATTCAGGGTGGGGATGAACTTTTTCAGTAGCCACAACTGCCCTGGGCCACACTGACAGAAACGAGGCAACCAGTCTGTCCCATCTGCCTCTCCGACCACCACCAACCATTCACACACACAGAGACTCATTCTAATGTGGGTGAAGTGTCTTGCCTAAGGACACAACAATAATTTGGCACTTTACAGCCGCCCCACTGAGGTCTCCCATCACAGTTCCAACCAGGCCCTGCCCTGCTTAGCCTCAAAGGTCTGACAGGATCTTTGTACGGCCGCACAGATACATTGGATGGAAGAGAATTGAAATCTTTAACAGCCAAAATAAACACAGATCATGAATTTTCTCCTGGTGAATTAAATGCGACTCGTTCCGGTGGATTTTTTCCCCGTTCCTCAGCACCTGTAAGACATGTGTGGTCTTCTTCTCTTCTTACCTCCGTAGAGCAGACGTGTTAATACAGTCACAGCCCATTGCATACGTCGCCGGTAAATCTCCCCGCACGTCCACTTCCCTCCCCAGTCGTACATCGCTCACGAGAAGCAGGTGCTGTGGACTTGATCAGGATCTGAGTTAGGGGCCCCCAGAGACACACTTTGGCTCCTGACGCCGGGCCCCAGAGAAGATCCCGCTTCAGACTCGGTAAACTCTCTTCTTCCTGACATCTGAAGGAGGAATTAAACTGGTATAGTTGTTTGGTTTGGCACAAAATCCTTAGTTATTGCTTGTCCTCGATTAGGCCCAGTTATTATTTTCATACAGGAGCCATATGTTAAAGAGGTACGGCTCCTAAAGAGAGACTAAAGCTCAGGTACAGAACTTTCTAACCTCAAAAATTTGAAAACAATATTAGAAAACTAACTAGTCCCAGGCATCACTTGTTTTAACATGCATGGAACAGGACTGAGGGCTACAGGAAGACCAGAGGGAGACCATTAAAACTAGAGAAACCAGAGAAGCAACAGAGAGACCAGAAATACGGACCAGAGAGAGAGACTAGAGAGAGACCACGCAATGCAAGGGACCACTGTAGGACTCTTTTTTGTTGTTTTGTTCATTAGAAATAAATAAAAAAACATACACAAAATATAACATACTATACACATGGGAAAGCTGATCCAAATGAGAGAGACCAGAAAGTGCAGAGAGAGAGAGCACATTAAGCTGATTTACTAATAAAAGAATATGTTTTTGTTTTTGTTTGATCAGTGCCCTACTCCAACAAATCTGCAGCAAGAAATGTGTTTCCCCCCCCACATTGTTTCCCCCCCCCCCACTTTTTTGTGCTTTTGGGGGCCCCGGTGCTGCCCCCCTCTGCTTTAGCCTCACACCGGCCCTGCTCTGGATTCGTCCATTTGTTCTGAGATGTTTGTGCTCTCTGTCCCCACGGAGGCTACAAACAGGTGCCAGGTGAAGCCTCCGCAGCTGTCCCTCGGCTCGGATTCGGAATTCCGACTTGGAAGCGTTCGTGGGGGGAGTTTTGGAGCGGTACCTTCGGTGGGATGTTAATAGCCAACAGGTGGGGGCTTTATGTGTGGGATCAGCTGCGCACCTTCTGCACATGTGTCGAGGGAGCGCGCCTCGGTCACGCATAGCTCCTGACGCAGCCCAGAGGATATTGTAGAAGAACATATTAGAAAGATATAGAAACATATAACTTATTTTTTTGTTAATTTATGATGAGGTTGTAAAACTTTAGTCCTGTTCAGTGAATTTACTCTGCATTCAGTTTGTGTGGATTTTTTATTTTTTTTTGGATGGCACTTTGCAAAGACAGTGTTTACTAAGCACTGAAAAGTAGGTGTAAAACAAGAGAGAGAGACCAGGGAGAGAGAGACCAGGGAGAGAGACCAGAGAGAGACCAGAGAGAGACCAGGGAGAGGGACCAGAAAGAGACCAGAGAGAGACCAGAGAGAGGCCAGGGAGAGAGACCAGAGAGAGACCAGGGAGAGGGACCAGAGAGAGACCAGAGAGAGACCAGGGAGAGGGACCAGAGACCAGAGAGATACCGGTGATAAACATCAGAGAGAAACTCGAGAGAGGGGCCAGAGAGAGAGACCAGAGAGGGAGAGACTCGAGTGAGCCACCACAAAAAGAACAGAGAGAGAGAGACCAGAGATAGAGACCAGGAAGAGGGACCAGGGAGATACCGGAAAGAAAGATCAGAGAGAAACTCGAGAGAGGGGCCAGAGAGAGAGACCAGAGGAGACTTGAGAGAAAGGCCATGAGAGAGGGGAGATCAGATAAAGACCAGAGAGAAAGAGAGACTCAAGAGAGGGGCCAGAGAGAGAGCGAGACCAGAGAGGGAGAGACTTCAGAGAGACAAGAGAGAGGGGAAAGAGAAAGGGGCCAACAAGAGAGAGACCAGAAAGGGAAGAGGGAGAGAGACCAAAGAGAGAGCTTGCATAGGTTGTTGTTAAAAGCTTTGTGCCAAACTTAAAAAAAGCTTTGAAAGTGATCGGAAAAATCCTAAAAATCAGTTCCAAAACTCAAAAGGAGCCTGTTGAGGGACACTAGCAGGGGTGATGTGTTCTCCTCCGGTAAGACCGACCAACTCACCTTAAAACCACTTCTGAACCCGTTTCCAGTTGAACGCCTTTGAAATTAGAATACATCTGTTTCTCATGAGTGCGTGTGGAGTGTGTGTGTGTGTGTGTGTGCTTGTTTGTGTGTGTGTGTGGGGGCATCTTGGGGCATGAATCTCCCCTTAACACAACACAACTCAGGGGAGATTTACGGCACCTCCATAAATATCGGACGGTTCCACGGCGCGCTGCGGTCATTAGAGGCGTGTTCTCAATCAAAGAACAGTCCTATTGTTGTAATAAATAGTGTAGAAGATCATCCATCTCTTTAGTCCCGTGCTCGGGCTTCGAAAAGTCCGGATTTAGAGTGAAACCAATTGGACATGACAAATGAAGCTATAGTACAGTACAACTTGTGGCCATTGTGATCCGAACAACTTTCTCATTCAAAAATACACATTACAAGCCTTGAAATGATTTAATACCAGTTATTTCTTTGTGTTTTCTTATGGTCCAGGCGCGTTGGATCAAAAATGTAGACGGTTTACTTTGCCCATGCGCCAAAAGTAAATCCAAAATCATTTTTAGTGGCCCCTGAAATGATTTTGTAACTTGCAGGAAGTCCTCATTTATAACACTATGACATTGATGATTTTCTACTTCCCGGTGGATCATCAAGACTATTGGTCCTCCCAGCTGTCAATCATTCTGGTGATACGTGCTACAAGTTTTGATCAAAAAGTGGAGAGGGCAAACTCCCTAAAATTTGGGGAAATCCTCCTTAAAGCCTTTAAAAAACACGTAATTACAAGATGAGTTATTATGGAATATGTGTGAATCTTCAATTACATATTTTTTTTGTATTCAGACCAGTTGTGATTGAATCCAAACCCACAAGAAAATATAATAATACAAAAAAAAATTGTCAACGTAGTAAATTAGGTTTAAATCAATGATAATGACAATAAAAGTAAACAACTATTCGTCTGTAGTGATAAACATAATTTCTTAATTTTTGTCCAGTTTTGGTTCAGTCCAAATTACAGAACACATATTAAACTGTGGGACCTACATAACAGAACTGACATAAGTAAGTAAGTATTGATTATTTATATACCGCCTTTCACAGACCAGAGTCACAAAGCGGTTCACAATTGTTATTTTTTTGGGCATTTGTCTCTCACTCCGTACAGAGATGGGAGTGGGGTCGCCGAACAGGAGGCGCATGTCAGAACTATTGTACATATTTTTAGTGGTAGGGGAAACCGGAGTACCCGGAGGAAACCTACACAGACACGGGGGAGAACATGCAAATTCCACTCAGAAACCAGGACCTTGTTGCTGAGAGGCGAGAGTGCCATCCACAGAAGAAGATCGGCTCCTCCTTGGACTTTCTCTTTTAAATTCTTTACTTTGTGCTTTTTGACTTGTTTTTACTTTTACATAACTGTGTGTTTGTGTGTTTCTAACTGTGTGTATGTGTGTGTGTGTGTGTGTGTTTCTAACTGTGTGTGTGTCTCTTACCGCCCTTGAGAATGGATGCAATTCAGCTCTTGTGCTAATTCCAGCATATACAGTATAAGTTTTCAGACACATTGATTAATATGTACTGTCCTGAATTCAAATTAGTTAGTAAAATAAATAAATAATTAAATACTTTTGCCCTCAACCTGTTTTTCAACTTGGTCCCCGACTGTTTTCTACCTCCTTTTTTGAGTGTAAAATGATATATATATAATAAAAGTCCTCATTTAAAACACTGTTGCAATGAAAAAAAACATGTTTATATAGAGTTGAATTAAAACACCAGCAAAATCGTGGCTATAAAGTTACACCATGAGGCTCAAAGTCAGATGCATCAAAGCTGGAGGCATTTGTGCTCAGTATAGATCCAATATAGAAATTACTAAAGGATAAAAGAATTTAGCTAATTCCTGGTGTGGACCCGTGCAAAGAAGGGATTGATTTCAGAACTAGCAGCGCCACTTCTGAACCATCACAGAGCCATAAATCCGCCAGATATGTATCGTTTCAGCGTCTGTAATGTGTGCTGACTTTTACTATTTTTTAAAAAGTGCTGAGTGACCGTATCGCAAAAGAACAAAGTCTACTTTTTGACCTTTTTTGGTCCATGGATCCAGCTGCAGTCCGTTCTCAATCGGACGGAAAGGAAGCCACCTACATTACATAGTGTGTGTGTGTGTGTGCGTGTGTGTGTGTGTGTGTGTGTGAGAACGGTGGTAAAGGTGACGTGTCTTCCATGTCCACTGACAGCTTTATGGGCTGTGAGCTGTGAAAGGGGAAAGGATTATGGGAAAGGAAATCGCACACATACACACAGACACACACACAGACACACACAGACACACACAGAGACACACACACACACACTGCTATTGTCCGCCCCCTCAGTCAGGTAAGAGCGGAATTTGAGTTATTTTATGAACGGAAATCAAACAGGCCAAAACACTGCAAAATCACAGGCCACTTAAAGTTCAGTTACCTAACTTTAAAACCATGTTCTGCTCTCTCACAGGGATTCTCTCCATCAACTCTTTCTCTGGTCTCTCTCTGGTCTCCCTGTGGTCTCTCTCAGGTCTCTCTCAGGTCTCTCTCTGGTCTCTCTCAGGTCTCTCCCTGGTCTCTCTCAAGTCTCTCTCTGGTCTCTCTCTGGTCTCTCTCTGGTCTCTCTCTGGTCTCTCTCTGGTCTCTCTCAGGTTTCTCTCTGGTCTCTCTCTGGTCTCTCTCAGGTCTCTCTCAGCTCTCTCTCTGGACTTTCTCAGGTCTCCCTCTGGTCTCTCTCAGGTTTCTCTCAGGTCTCTCTCTGGTCTCTCTCAGGTCTCTCTCTGGTCTCTCTCAGGTCTCTCTCTGGTCTCTCTCAGGTCTCTCTCTGGTCTCTCTCAGGTTTCTCTCTGGTCTCTCTCAGGTCTTCCATGTGTCCACTTCTTCAAACTTCCCGTTGTGAGTGAAGACGACACAGGCCTGACTCTCGGTTCCCACAGCCGCTCCAGGCTTTCGTTTTTCCGGAGAATCTCACTGTGGTCTGTTGTGCGTCGCTCCAGCAGGACATTCCCTCTGTGTGTGTTTGCAGCTAGAAGTCCCGGACCAGGTGTGAGAGAGCGCGGACAAGTGGGAACCATCCAGGCCAGGGCTCCACGGAGGATTATCTGTCCGTCCAAGCGCATTCCACAGAAAACAGGTTGTGAGAAAGCCTCCTATATCCGGCTGTGTGTGTGTGTGTGTGTGTGTGTGTGCGTGTGCGTGAGTAAAATGGATCATTATGTACGTGTGAATTTGGATTATAGATATTTAAAATCTTTATTTGGACAGCACTTTGCAAAGACAATGTTTAGAAAGCACGGAAGCACAGGCGTAGAACAAGCCAATCAATACAGATCAGAGAGAAACCAGAGAGAGAGACACTATAGAGAGAGAGACTAGAGAGACCAGAGAAAGAGACTAGAGAGACCAGAGACTGGAGATACACCAGAGTGGACCAGAGAGACTAGAGAGACCAGAGAAAGAGACCTTAGAGAGACCAGAGTGAGACCATAGTGAGACCAGAAAAAGACCAGAGACTAGAGATATGCCAGAGTGGACCAGAGAAAGACCAGAAAAAGACCAGAGAGAGAGAGAGAGAAAGCCCATAGAGAGACAAAAAATGACGAGAGAGACAGACCAGAAAGACCAGAGTGAGAGAGATGATAAAAAGATCAGAGAGAGAGACCAGAGAGAGATTAGGGAAAGCTGGTGGGGGGTTAAAAGTCCAGAAATATAGCTTGGTGCCAGATCTAAACAAGATTTAAAGGGGTCAGAAAAATCGATTCTAAAACACGCAAGGACAAAGTGATGCTAGCACAGGGGCGATGTGTTCCCTTCTGTTAAGACCGAGCTACCAACTGACCTCAAAAGCTCTCTCGAACTCCTGAAGCGGTCGCACCAAACACATGGAAAGGCTCCCGAATCTGGCCGTGTGTGTGCGTCCGTGTGTGAGTCCGTTTGTGTGTGTGTGAGCGTACAATGAACCATTACGGTAACGCCGGGCGATCACTGATATCTGTCATCCACTCAGCGTAATGACTTAGGGCCTGTCTGCGAGAAATCTACATCTTCGCCGCTGTTAACCTCGCTCCAAACAAGAAAAGCATTTGACTTCACCAGTTGGAACTCCTAATTAGGTTGAAGTAGGTCTCTTTGAAGCGACGGTGTAGCAGAGAAAAGCAAAACGTGAAACATTTTCAGCCTCATTATAAGTTATCTAAAAGGCGAGGGCTGGTGATAATGAGGGGTTTCTAGTGGGAGGCGATGCAGAGGGGAGAGTGCGTCTAATTGTGTCAAATGGCTGGAAGTATTTCACTTTGAATTATGGAGAAAAAAGGGGGAAAACAACGCGGACCGGAGCGCGGCGTCGGTGTCAGGGAAATAAATGAGCAGCTATAGGAAGTGTTAGCGTGCGCGAGTTTATCCAGGACAGGAGCGCGACGTAAGAAACACCTTTTTTGGATTTTTGTGTTAAAAAGTAAACAAGAGAGTGGAGAGGAGAGACCCCGTGCTTTTCTGATTTTGTATTGTGCAATTAAACATAATGTAGGGAGAGCTAAGAAATGCACAATTTAGAAGTAACAACTTTTTTTGAATATTTATCGATGGTGAAAATAGTTAAGATTTGAGATTTCTATTGGGAGATTATGCAAAAAATATCTCGGATTTTTCTCGTTATTGACTGAGGTGTGGATTTGTCAGAATGTATTGTATTCAGAGGTCTCTCTCTCTCTGTGACGCCGTTCGACTTTCGTTAAACCCGTTACAGATTGTTGTGTGTGATTGTTCTTTTGTTTGTGTAGGACGTACATAACAGTATAACATGATAGTTAGTAGTAGTAGTAGTAATCTTTATTTATATACCGCCTTTTCACTGCACATCGAAGTCTCAAAGCGGTTTACAATTGTTATTTTTAGGGCATTTGTCTCTCGCTCCACACAGAGACGGGAGTGGGGTCGCCAGTATAGGAGGCGCATGTCAGACCTATTGTACATATTTTTAGTGGTAGGGGAAACCGGAGTACCAGAAAGGCCCTGGTCCGACCGGGATTCGAACCCAGGACCTTCTTGCTGAGAGGCGAGCGTGCTATCCACTCAGCCACCGTGCCGCCCATCTCTATAGTTATCGTTTGCTAAAGTCAGAAGAAAACTTTTGTGGCTCGTATGTACTTCAGTGTTTAGGTCAGAGGACTCTCCCTGATCTCTCTTTGGTCTCTCTCACTCTCAGATCTCTCTTGCCTTTCTGTGGTCTAAACCTCAGCTATTTCCCTCTCTCTGCTCTCTCTCTGGTCTCTCTCTGGTCACTCTCTGGTCTCTCTCTGATCTCTCTCTGGTCACTCTCTGGTCACTCTCTGGTCTCTCTCTTGTCTCTCCCTTGTCCCTCTCTCTGGTCTCTCTCTGGTCTCTCTCTGGTCACTCTCTGGTCACTCTCTGGTCTCTCTCTGGTCACTCTCTGGTCTCTCTCTTGTCTCTCTTGTCTCTCTCTCTGATCTTTCTCTGGTCACACTCTGGTCTCTACCTGGTCTCTCGCTGGTCTCTCTCTGGTCTCTCTCTTGTCCCTCTCTCTTGTCCCTCTCTCTTGTCCCTCTCTCTGATCTCTCTCTGGTCTCTCTCTTGTCTCTCTCTCTCGTCACTATCTTAACTCTCTCTCTTGTCCCTCTCTCGTCTCTCTCTTGTCCCTCTCTCTCGTCACTATCTTGTCTCTCTCTCTCCGGTCTCTCTTTGATCTCTCTTTTGTCTCTCTCTGGTCTCTCTCCCCCTCTCTCTCTCTAATCTCTTCCTCTCTTCTCGCCATCTCCTTTTATCACTTAAGAATTGCCTTGGGTATGAACTGTGCTACACATATAAACTCGCCTTGCCAACTCCAATTACTCCCCTTCAGTAACATTGGTCCCCCCAGAAAGGCCCGGGTCTCTCCTGCACAACTCCAGCCAGTGATTTGAGGCAAAAACCTAACACAATGTTTTGCAAGGTGTCTTTTTTTTTCTGTTCCAAACCTGCGTGTGCTATTTTCCCATCGATATAACTCATTGTTGGGAACCGTTTTGTTCAAAGAATATATATACTTTGGCCATAAAACCAGGCGCTAAATGTGAAATCTCGCAGCCAGGCCAAGTCAAACATATTCAGTCATGTCTTTGAAAACACTGCACTCAAATGTACAGTACCAGCGCCGTGGGGAGTACTTTGTAATCCTGGACTTAAAGGAGACGTATCGTATATCGCTGGACCACAGACCTGGAGTGGTGTTGAGGTCCATCCACGCTGCTATAAGGAAGTTCATGCCCAAACGTGTCGCTTCTGTCGAAAAGCACCTGTCTCAGTCCTGTAATGGAGTGATGTCATTGTGATGCTATGACGTCATACTCGGAGAAGAGAGAAAATAGAGAGAGATGAGAGAGAGAGACCAGAGAGGCACCAGAGAGAGAGATCGGAGAGAGACAATGAGAGAGAGATAGACGATAGAGAGAGACCAGAGAGTCAGACTACAGACAGAGACCAGAGAGAAAGAGAGAGAGACAAGAGAGAAAGAAAGAGACTACAGAGAGAGACCGGAAAGAGAGAGAGAAAGAGAGAGACTTCAGAGAGAGACCAGGAAGAGAGACTACAGACAGAGACAAGAGAGACAACAGAGAGACCGGAAAGAGACAATGAGAGAGAGAGATAGACGAGAGAGAGAGACCAGATAAATAAAGAGAGAGAGACAAAAGAAAAAGAAAGAGACTGCAGAGAGAGACCGGAAAGAGAGAGAGAGAGAGAGACTTCAGAGAGAGACCAGGAAGAGAGACTACAGAGAGAGACAAGAGAGACTACAGAGAGACCGGAAAGATAGAGAGAGAGAGACTTCAGAGAGAGACCAGAAATAGAGAGAGACTACAGAGAGAGAGAGTGAGACCGACCAGAGAAGGACCAAAGAGAGAGACCAGGGAGGCACCAGAGAGGAACCAGAAAGAGACCAAAGGGACCAAGAGACCAGAGAGAAACCAAAGAGAGACCAAAGAAAGACCATTTATGGACCAGAAAGAGACCAAAGAGAGACCAGAGAGAATTACCACTATGACATCACACTCAGAGGGGTCAGAGGTTAGGATTGAAAATAGGGTTAAGACACCTGCATCTGGTTGATAATTAATTTTACTGTTTCATTCCATGTTTTGTGAAGCACTTGTTGCCTCGTGTATGACCTGTGCTACATAAAAAAATCGTCTTGCCTTGTCATAAAATCCAAAAGACGCTGGTAATGCTCAGAGGGGAGGACTGCCCCGTTCCCTGTACTGAAAGAGCCAGGATTTAGTGCTTCATTTCACACCAGATACTGTACAAATATGTCTGTCTGGAACCTCCATGATGTATAGGGTCCCATCTCCTCAGTCGTCCCCCCCTGTGGAGCTTTCATCCTGGGTGAGGCCTCCGCTCTCTTGGCCTCTCCGCACACACACAGATACAGAGCTCGTGCCGTTGGGGTGAAATCCAAGACCGTGGAGTTGTTAGCACACCGGCTTCCCTTACACGACGGCGTCTTCACAATAGTTTTGGGACGAGACGACGGCCCGGACAAGAGGTGCAGACAGAGGTTTGTGAAACCTGAGACCGGGAGGAGAAAAATATGAAAATACATCATACATTAAAGCGTGGGTTGTGTTCAATACGGTCATATTGGGAGAACTGAAACAGATTTCTTCTACTGTGTCCGTCGTCATTATGGTTTCAGCTGTAGTCTGTTCATTGCTATTCTCCCGCTGATCTGTCTGTTTGAAGAAGGGATGTTGGGAACCCTGAATCCGGCTTCTGGGTCTACAGCCTCAGTCCTGGATCTACAGCTTCAGTACTGGATCTACAGCCACAGTCCTGGTTCTACAGTCTCAGTCCTGGGTCTACAGTCTCAGTCCTGATCTACAGTCTCAGTCCTGGATCTACAGCCTCAGTCCTGGGTCTACAGTCTCAGTCCTGGGTCTACAGCCTCAGTCCTGGGTCTACTTTCTCAGTCCTGGGTCTATAGTCTCAGTCCGAGCGAGTGGATCCCTCTCTTAATGTAGGCCTGACCGAGGTTTCTCACTTTTTACCGGATCCACAACTTTGTAAAGTCCGACAAGATAACTGCTGTCGTGATTTAGGGCAGTACACACTATTTCTGACACTAAAAATGACAGGTTTTCAAATGAGATAAACAAAGAAATTTGTAGTGTGAATATCATGATTCACAAAAGTTACGTAGCCCAGCTTTAAAATGTATCAAAAAATATATCGCAGAGAAGCAAGTTGACCAAGTTGATAAATTGCTAAATTATGAGTTTTTCAGGAACCAAAAAGAGTTCACCAAACACGGTATCCACAGAGTAAATTTTGTAAAATAACAGTTCATTCATTGGTGCCAAAATGCCCTGGGGGTTGGCTCTCAAGGCAATCTGAAGTTGGTAAATAAGAAATAAAAATGCCATTGTTTTTTGGATCTGCCTTCACGCTGTGCAGCAGAAACGTCAATAATCAAAACCACAGTCTTTAAGTGGGTGGCTGGATTACAAGTCCCAGGAAAAACCCGCTCTGAGGCCAAGTCCGTAGAACTGGGAGCCGTGGACCGGAAACGACGCCCAAACAACACATCTCTCAGCGTAGGAGCGAGCGTGTGCCAGAAATACGAAAAAGAAAAAAATAATTATAGTGAATTGGTTGTAGTCGTGGGTCCCATGTCCACCTGCGTCTGAGCTCATGGTGACCTCAGCGCGGGAACATGGGAGTGCACCGATCCTCCGAGATTTGTCCGACTTCCACAACACGTTTATGTCTCCGTATTTTTAGAATCGGGTGGGTGGTTACGAGGAAAGGATACAGCATGTGTCCAGCTATGACAGGGGTGTGCAAAAAGGAGACACTTCAGCTTTCGCAGACTTGTCCAGGGGTCGAAAAACATGGTTTGTAAAACTGTTCACTGCAAAAAATGATGAAATATGAGGTAATAATTGCATAAATCATGTGTTTTTTCTACAGTATCTTTATTTGAACACATTCTGACTGTAGTAAAACAAGATTTTTCAATGGGACAAAGTCATTTAGTATTTTTCCACAGACTGGTTGCCTTGCTTCTGTCAGTGTGCCCCAGGGCAGCTGTGGCTAAAGTAGTTTCAAACAGTAGATACAGTTTACTATTGATGTGAAGAGACCTGTCCAGAAAAGAGCCGTGTGAAACAAATGCTTTATTATTACTATTAGTAGTAGTAGTAGTAGTAGTAGTGTTTTTATTATTCCATCCATCCATCCATTTTCTTCCCCTTAATCCATTTCTGGGTCGGGGGTGGCAGTCAGAGCACCAGCCCCTCACTGATCCTCCTGCAGTTGCTGAGTCCACAGGAGCTGAGATCTTTCAGTGGGGGCTTCAGGCAAAGTGGGGTTGAGTGTCTTGCCCAAGGACACAACGACAGCAGTCATCAGTGGGAGTCGTGAAGTAGGTCTCGTGGTGGGCTCGAACCCACGACCTTCAGGCACAAAGGCCAATGCTCTACCAACTGAGCCACTGTCGCCCAATCATTATCATTATTGTTCCAAATTCTGTTTACAGGTATCATAATTGCATTCTGCTTGTTAAATAATTGCATTGTATTCTGTGTATCATTTTGTTAAAATGGGTGAGAGGGGGTTCGAGAAAATAAAGAAGAATTGAAAATTTGCGTTCTGCAGGTTTGAAATAAGATCAAACTCACGAATGCCGCTCGGCCATGGATCTAAAACAGTAAAGTTCCATCTCTAATGTCCTCATATCCCTCACACGGTGATTCCAAACCCGGGGTCGTGCGCCTTGTGTGGGCCTCACCTTTCCCGCCGCAGAAACTAAACAACACAAGAGTTACGAGTGCGTGAATACTTATCAGCCTCTGCTTTACGGACGCGCCGCCTCGCTCACCTCCGACGCGCCGGTAATTGAAAACACGAGTCGGCTACATTTACAGGAGGCTCGTAAAAAACAGCTCCCTGAACGTGACTTAAAACCAGCGTCTGTTTGGCTTTGTGCGAGTGTGTAATCGTCAGTCAGGGGTAGAGCTCGGGATAACGGGAAGATTTATTAAAACTGGCAGTGCTTTGAGTTTGTATTTGCTACTATAGTAATATGGCTGTTTTGTCCATATACAGTATATTCGGTTTACTTTGAGGCCGTCCTGTCTGCTTAGCTATTTGGTAGATCACCTTTTGAGTAAATATATCTTTAAATACACCTCTTTGGATCATCTAACTTGTATTAGGTAGGTTATTGGTCCTACATAAACAATAATACATTACTTTGTTTAAGGGATAAAGCTGAGGTTTCTAACTTTTCCCCCATGAATAATACCCTGTAAAAAACAGTGAAAATCTGAAAAGAAACATGGTCTTTCTCTTAGGAGTGGGACTTCACCACAGTGTTTGTCTAACTGTGGAAGAGGCTGATTTGAATAAGAGCGAGCTGGAGCCAATTTCCTTATAAGGGCATTTGTTTAGATGGCGTAAGCTTTGGGCCATAACAGGGGTAGACGTGTTGCTATGATGGTTGCTAAGGCAAGCTAGAGTTCCCGCCGCTATTGAAGACATCTGATTGGAGAGTTCTTAGGAGGGTGATTTTTTGACCTGAGACCGGAGAGAGACCAAAAGAGACCAAAAGAGACTAGAGAGAGACCAGGGAGAGAGACCAGAGAGACATGCATCTACATCCTCAGTCCTGGATCTACAGCCTCAGTCCTGGATCTACAGCCTCAGTCCTGGATCTACAGCCTGAGTTCTGGATCTACAGCCTCAGTCCTGGATCTACAGCCTGAGTTCTGGATCTACAGCCTCATTCCTGGATCTATACAGCCTCAGTCTTGGATCTACAGCCTGAGTTCTGGATCTACAGCCTCAGTCCTGGATCTACAGCCTCAGTCCTGGATCTACAGCCTCAGTCCTGGATCTACAGCCTCAGTCCTGGATCTACAGCCTGAGTTCTGGATCTACAGCCTCAGTCCTGGATCTACAGCCTCAGTCCTGGATCTACAGCCTGAGTTCTGGATCTACAGCCTCATTCCTGGATCTATACAGCCTCAGTCTTGGATCTACAGCCTCAGTCCTGGATCTACAGCCTCAGTCCGGGATCCACAGCCTCAGTCCTGGAACTACAGCCTCAGTCCTGGATCTACAGCCTCAAGCCTGGATCTGCAGCCTCAATCCTGGATCCACAGCCTCAGTCCTGGATCTATAGCCTCAGTCCGGGATCCACAGCCTCAGTCCTTGATCTACAGCCTCAGTCCTGGATCATGTTTTTGCAGTTATGTAGTAGTATCCTCGCCATGCTCACACTCCCCTTGGCTGTGTGGACCTGGACTGGACCTGGGCTGGACAGTGCGCACCGCCCGCCCCTGGTTCTCATGACCTCAGAGCCACTGATGCCGCGGGGAGTAGTCTCCTGACAGTCCTGGTGTTTGTCTGAGAACCGGGGCCACATCCAAAACGTCACCCCTCCAAAGCAGAAACTCGAGGCCCGGCCCGCGCCCATAACTCACGGATGTGCGGCTTGGCGGGTCGCGCTGAGTGGGGAATCCTGCCTTGTATCTTGATTTTTGGGCGGCGTTTAGGAGGACGCGGCGAGCCAAGTATCATTCATCACCCAACGAGTTCAGGCCCGGAACATTTATTTGGGATTCGGTTACGAGCCAAAGAGAGCTGCGAAAAGGAAGTCGCAGAGATTTGTTCGAAGAATGAGGGGAATGGGAGGTGGGAATGTGAATGAGTGTGTTTAAGTCGTTCATCATTAAAGCCTAACTTCTAAAGCACAAAACATGAATCCATATAATAATGGAGACTCTCTGGTGTTTCTCCTTCTGGTCTCTATCTGGTCTCTCTCTGGTCTCTCTCTGGTCTCTCTTGTCTTTCTCTCTGATCTCTCTGGTCTCACTCTGGTCTTTCTCTCTGGTCTCTCTCTGGTCTTTCTCTTTGGTCTCTTTATGGTCTCTCTCTGGTCTATCTCTGGTCTCTCTCTGGTCTCTCTCAAGTCTCTTTCTGGTCTTTCTCTCTGATCTCTCTGGTCTCTCTCTGGTCTCTCTCTGGTCTCTCTCTGGTCTCTCTCTGGTCTCTCTCTGGTCTCTCTCCGGTTTTTCTCTTTGGTCTCTATCACAAGTAATTTTATCCAAGAAAAATCCAAGATAAGGACAAAATACAAACATCCAGAACTGAAAACCAGCCAGGAACATATAACACAATGGTATAGACAATGGACAGACAAAAAGTGGGAATAGATACACACAGGGACACACAGGTAGATCTAATAATAATAAATAATTGATTATCCAAACGTCCACACCTTGGCAATTTGTTGATAGGGAGCGGGATGACCACCGTCCAGAAATGTTAATAAACGTCCTTAAATATCCTGGATCGTTACTGTCCTAAGACCCACCTGCATCGGCAAGAAACCCAATGGGACCATCAAGGACTCGAACCAATAGTCATTTTGTGGAAGATTCAAAACATTACACTTAAATCCCTGCACGAGGACTGTTGGGATGAATTTGCATCTGTTCCGCCCCCCTCCCTGACGGCCTCCTGGCTGACCCTTGCTGACCCTAACTGATCAATCAAGTGTGACCTTTGGGGTATATACAGTAGGAAGTAGGAAGCCAGCTCACTGCTAGCTCTTTCAGTCTGCATGCTAGCTACCAACCTCTGAGGCCGAATCCTAATACCCACACTGCACCATCCTCTAGCTGTATGATTTTAACTTAAATGTGGGTAACTAGGTGTTATCTGGTAAGTTTTTATACATCCTAAGTTTATTGTACTAAGTGTAAAGTTTAAATTGAATGTTATATAAAAGCTTGGATTAAAAAAGTTATTAATCTCTACATGCTGCCTTTAGGTCAGTTAATACGCAGAAACAAAGTTTCCTATCATAACTATGCAGACGACACTCAGATCTATGTCTCACTGACTGCAGGAGAACATGGACCAGTGGACTCACTCCTTCACTGTATCCAACAGATCAGTGGGTGGATGCAAAACAACTTCCTTCAGCTAAACACAGACAAAACTGAAATGATTGTCTTTGGTCCCCAGAAACAAAGAGAGAGCGTCATCTGTCACCTACAGTCTCTCTCCCTAAAACCTTCAAACAAGGTCAGAAATCTAGGGGTAATACTGGACTCAGACTTAAATTTTAATAGCCACATCAAATCAGTAACATCAGCAGCTTTTTACCATCTAAAAAACATTGCCAGGATCAAAAACATAGTGTCTAAAGCAGACTTGGAGATTCTTATCCATGCATTTGTCTCCAGTAGGTTAGACTACTGCAATGGCCTGCTCACAGGTCTGTCCAAACAGGCTGTAAAACAGCTGCAGTACATTCAAAATGCAGCAGCTCGAGTCCTGACTAGAACCAGGAAGTACGACCACATTAGTCCAGTCCTCAGGTCTCTGCACTGGCTTCCTGTGGCTCAGAGAATAGACTTTAAAACAGCTCTGCTTGTGTACAAGTCTCTCCATGGCCTCGCACCAAAATATATTAGTGACATGTTAGTCCCATATGAACCAGCCCGGACTCTGAGGAGCACAGGGACTGGACTCCTGTTAGTGCCCAGAGTCAGAACTAAACATGGGGAGGCTGCTTTTCAGATTCATGCTGCTAAAATCTGGAACAGTCTTCCTGAAGATGTGAGACAGGCCTCCTCTCTGACAATGTTTAAAACCAGGTTAAAGACAGTTCTGTTTAGCTGTGCATACAACTGAGGGATTTTATATTTTTATCTTTCTTTTTAATGTTCTGTGATTATTTATGATTTTAATGCTTTCTTGTTTTGTTCAGCACTTTGAATTGCCTTGTGTATGAATTGTGCTATACAAATAAACTTGCCTTGCCTTGCCTTGCCTTAATATGTTAGCATAGAATGTCCGTAATTCTTCGATTAGTCATTTATGCTTCTATCCAAGTAACATAGCAGCAATTATTTACACACATACAGCATATATATTTCAAAACGTACACTTCAATGCATTTACCCGACGTTTTGGTGTGTGCCGCAAAGAATTATGGACAATATCCTTCGCCAGAGTCCGCTTAGATGCAGGCTACGGCGAAGTGTGGATCAGGGGGCGCAGAGGGGGCGGGGCCAAAGACCTCCCTGGAGGATTGGGACGCCCTAAGCACTCGCACCCATCATCGGGAACGCGCAAATGAGGGTCGCGAGGGTGGAAGTGCGAACATTGGGACTGGGCCATAGTCAGGAGGCCTTCTCTGGGTCCTCTCTCTCTCCATCCATCTCTCCCCGGGTATGACTATTTTCTGTTATGCCTGTATGTACAGTACTTTGATGTGTTACTTATTCTATTTTTTTGACACATATAAAGCTGGCAAACCTGTATTTTTAAATGTGTTACTGTTATCTCTGTGCTGCACTTTAGAAACGTCTTCAGTCTCATTGTATATCCACTTGCTTCAGGCCTTGTATGTACAGCAAGAATTATGTTATTATTATGATTAAATTACTACTAAATTGTCACGATAACAAGGACCGAACCAACTGTTCTCAGCAACTATCTCAAACCACATTTTATGATTCGGTTGCTAACTCTAAGCTTGCATATGTGTGTATTCAGCAAACACCGATTCCAAACTGTGAAAGCGTGTGATCTGAAACTCTTTAAAGTGCTGAAAAAAGAAGAGAGGGGGGGTCGGGGGTCTTGACATGCCTCCTGTCGCAATCCGCCAAACCCAGCGCTAACCGTTTGACTCTCTCGCTGTCACCTCGTTACTTTATCAAAAGGTGGAGGTGTCTGAGCGAGGCTTATCACCCCCCGCCTCGCACGTCCGTACCTGACAGCCCCCGGTTTTCTCCAGGTGCTGCTAATCCTGCTGATTCAATTCTTTTTTTCTTTTTTTGCAAAAGCGGGGATCAAACCTGCTGGTCCGGCTGCGGCGCGCTGATGGAAGGCCCTGATCTGGCGCCCATGAAAGACCGGCAGGCGCAAAGGCCCCCCCGTGTGTGTGCGTGTTTGTGCGGCGCTGCTTTTTTTATAGCGCGCCACGGGGATGACTTTTTCTGTGCGGCCGTGATTTTGCCAGAGAGAGGTTTTTTTCTCTCTTTGGGCAGGTGTGCTTTTTCTCAGGATGTGTTTGTTCACAGCTGTAGCAGGAGGTTTGCCACGAAAGAAGAGAAAGAAAAACTTAAAATCTGCAGGTGTTTTTTTGTGTCGCGGTTTAACAAGTATCCAGCCGAGGTTCCACACCGGCAAGGGAATTTCAAAAGGGCAGTCAATTAGATGGTTTTTAGTTTTTGGGGCGACAGTGGCTGAGGTTTGAGTCACTGTCACCAGGTTGGTTTGAGCCTGAATGTTGTGGGTTCGAGCCCCCCACAATGTCTGCTGTCGTTGTGTCCTTGGCAAGACACTTAACCTCCACTGTGGGGCGGCTGCGGCTGTAAAGTGCCAAACTGCTGTTGTATCCTTAGGCAAGACACTTCACCCACATTGAGTCTAGAATGAGTTCCGTGTGTGGATGGAAGGGGTTGATGGCACACAGTGGTTTCCGTCAGTGTGCCCCAAGGCAGCTGTGGCTGGAGTAGTAGTTTATCATGACTGTTTATCGAGTAAAAAAAAAAGTGATATTTAAATAGAAAGTATTTGAGTGACTAAAAAAATCTCCGTATAAGATTCAGATTCAGAAAAATACATTGGAATACATTTGATAAAGTCCCCAGTGCGCACCAGACAAGAATACAAATAAACAAAGTTAAAACCTATACATTTTTATGATTATTTTTATTGTAAATTAAAACTTGTGCAAAGACTTTTTACCACTAGAGCCGGCTTTCACACACACTCTCTCTCTCGTTCCCAAACTCTCTTGAAGCATCCGTTGAATTGAAGAGGTCCCATAGATCAACAAACCCCCCGCTTTGAGTCTTTAGTCCGAGTTGTTCCGGGCCTGCCGTGACCTCTTCTCTCCGGGATAGCTGTTGTGCGCGAGCTCCGGGTTGGGGACTGTCTTGGCTCAGCTTGCCCCTCGCTGTCAGAACAAACCCATGTTTTCACCAAACGCTGTTGGAAATACTATCAGTGAGCTGTCAGAGTGTGCGCTGCATTGTCTCAGTCTGCGTTCGGCTGCGGAACAACATCCCCCTCAGGTCCCGCGCACGAGGAAACACATGGCTGGCAAAACAACGCGGCCGTACAGGCTTTTTTGTCCGAATGCGCGCCGCGGCCACTTCCACCCGGCCGCTATCGGAGGTGGGAGAGTTCCTGCCTTTTACGGCCATTTTCAGGTCGCGAGAGATAAGGGGGACGTGGGACACACTGCAGGAGTGGACATTCTTGGCAGGTTCAGAATGTGTTTGTTTTTACGTAAAGCTGGGGTACCTGACTTTCAAACTGCGGAATTACAACCATCCTATGACAATACAATTTATTCTTGTATAGCCCTAAATCACAACAGTTTCATCTCAGAGGATTTACCAAAACCATTGGAATCACCAACACAAATCAGAGAATCAACAGTTAAGACACAGAAAGAGTTTAGAACACATGTTGATAAATGTCATACATGTTGTAGAATGTTAAAGTGTCCTGGAGCCTCACGGTCCACAGACTCACAAAAACTCACAAAAACCCAGTGGGAAAAAAGTGAGAAGTGAGAAACCTCGGGGAGACCCACATTGAGAGAGTGATCCGCTCCACACGGACGGGCGGGCCATAGATCCAGGACTCAGACTGTAGAATGAGGACTGAGGCTGCAGATCCAGGACTCAGACTGTAGAACGAGGACTGAGGCTGTCAGACTGTAGAACGAGGACTGAGGATGTAGATTCAGGACCTAAGCTACAAAACATGGACCAGGGCCACGCAGCAGCCGCATAATGTGAACAGGTTTATTAAATAATAATAAATGAGTTCTTGTGTCTGAAAACAATTGCTAGTTTTTGGCCTCTGTCACAGCTTTAGATCATCTTTTTGTGGACAGAGGTGTGGCTCATTCTCAGCCAATAAGAGCTCAGTCCAAAGAGTCAAATAGTGGCTCACATGGTTCTTTGTTACAAGAGTACGAAACCAGACCTGGGCCAAGACGCAAGAGGAGACCATACGCAAGACCAAGCTAACAACTGCTGAAGTTCAGAGAGAGAGACCAGGGAAAGACCAGAGAGAGGGAGACCAGCGAGGAGAGAGACCAGAGGGAGATGCAAGAGATACCGGAGAGAAACCAGAAGAGTGACCAGAGAGAGGCCAGAGAGAGAGAGACCGGAGAGAGAAACTAGAGAGAGAGAGACCAGAGAGAGAGACCAGCAAGAGACACCAGAGAGAGAAAGACCAGCAACGGATACCAGAGAGAAAGACCACCCAAATAGACAAGAGAGAGAGACCCAGGAGAGAACGGGGGGAAAGACCAGCGAGAGATACCTGAGAGAGACACCAGACCCTGACCAAGATCTGACCAGAACCAGGCCCAAGACAAGACCCAATCCGCTCTCTTCCCAAAGAGTCAAATAGTGACTCACAGGGCTCTTTGTAAAGATGTAATTATTCCAAGTCTACATTAAACATAGTCGTGTATGTTTTTTGCTGCTTTTATATACAGTCACACACTTTCATTTCATGCAATTAAGCGGCAAATGCAGATTACTCCTAATGGTTACGAACATAGATGTAATAATAATGACCAAATCTGTATTCGTGTCCAAGGCCAGGAGCCGGTACCGTCCCGGGGAGAGGCAGAACAAAGGGGCTCCTCCAGGGGACCGGCTCAAGGTCCTGCTCAGGGACAAGTTACAATCACTCTATTTTCCTGTTCGCAGTCCAACATTTCGTCTTTTCAACCGTTTTAAAGGTGCTCTGTGTAAATGTATTCTGGTGGGACATGAGCGGTTCTGCCGGATGAGGTTCCATTTTGACAGTAAATAACCAAAATATGTAAAATTCTGGAAGTCGTTTGATGATTTTAGGCTCCTGCATCAGTTAGAGAGACCAGAGAGAGACCAGAGAGAGGCCAGAGGGAGACCAGAGAGAGACCAGGGAGAGACTAGAATAAGGGAGAAACCAGAAAGGCCAGAGCAAGTGAGACTATAGAGAAAGACCAGAGAAACGAACTAGAGGGAGAGACCAGAGAGAAACCAGAAAGAGCCAAGCGAGAGACTGTAGAGAAAGACCAGAGAGATAGACCAGAGTAAGAGCCCAGAGAGTGAGAGATAAGAGAGTGAGAGACCAGAGAGACCAGTGAGATACCAGAAAGAGCCAAGCGAGAGCTCAGAGACTTTGGAGAAAGAGCAGGGAGATGGACTGCAGAGAGACTAGAGAGAGACCATAGAGAGACCAGAGAGAGACTAGAGAGAGACTAGAGAGAGACTAGAGAGAGAACAGAGAGTGAGACTCCAGAGAGAGAGAACAGAAACTAACTTAAAAACACACATCAAAACATTACACACAAGTTAATTACAAACGTTCTTTTAAAGAATAGTTATCAAACCAATCTCTTCAAACGTGTACAAACACACACACACACACATGTAAAAAAACACACACACACACACGCACACACACACGCATGTACAAACACACCCACACACCAGTCTGCCCACTCTAACAATCCTCACAGCTACATATATCGCGGTGCCCATCACACCACTTACTCACTTCCTTCCTACTCGGCCCGGGGGTCACTCACTGGCTCTCCCAGGCCTTTCATGCTGGGTCCAGAGGGTCCTGGCGGGGGCCGGGGGGGGGGGGGGGGGTGGGCAGGGAGCAGGAAGAATCCAGAGGAGATGCGATCTTGGCAGGTTTACATGTTTGAAGGGAGAGCTCACCTCCGCCTGGCTGTGGCTTCCTGCTGCAGACATCGGGGCCAACGCCGTTATCGTTTCCTCGCCGTGATTAGGACACTTCCTGGAGACGCCAATCCAGGTTCAGTCTTTGTCGGCACTCGGGATTTTGAGACGGCTGATTCGTGGGAGGATTTTTGTCAAAGCAGAGATCCGACTGATAAAGGTTGTAATTAGGCTGGCTGTGTTAGCGAACAGGGCTGAGAGCGTGACCAAGGTTCAGAGAAAGGTACACACACGGAAACATGGAGGAGGTGGGAAACGGTGTCTTTCTGATCCTGAATCTGTACAGGTCGTAAAGTCTGCTTTGATCGGATCTTGTTTCACCTAGATTTCAAAAACATTGGTCATCTCTTCCTTTTGAACCAATGGCAATAGAAAAATACTGATTTAGAGCATTATAAAAACAAGTTGAATTGAATTTTCAACGTTGATCGCCAACTTCAGCTCTATTGACTCTTATCTAGACCAGGGGTGCCCAAACCTTTAGTAAGAGGGCCGCTTTAGTTCATCAGGCATTTTATGTGGAATGTTGTGACGTAATCATTAACAAATTACAGTAAGTGAGTATTGTTTATATATATAGCGCATTTTTACAGACCAAGGTCACCCAAAGCGCTTCACAATGTTCAGAGTTAATAACAACGACTGGATTCCAGAGGGTCTGAGATTTACAACTTTGTGTTAGCAGCAGAGGGCCACATAAAATTGCACAGAGGGCCGCAATTGGCCCGCAGGCCTGAGTTTGGACAAGACTAATCTAGTCAAAATTCACGGACATTTCTCATCTTGTCTTGGACTTTGATTCAATTTAATTCCATTTCCTTCCGCTTTATCCGTTGTCTGGTTGTGAGGCAGCCGTCTGAGCAGAGACAGAGAATCCCGCTCAACAGTCTTTCCAGGGCGACTGAGCTCATCACCCTAACTCTAAGAGAGCAGTGGGTCTACTCCAAGCTCCTCCCGTGGGACAGAGCCTCTCACCCTATCTCTAAAGGAGCAGGGGAAACTCATGTGGATCGCTTGTATCTGCGATCTCGTCCTTTCTGTCATTTCCCAAAGTGAAGGGTGTGGACTGAGCGGTAAATCCAGAGCTTTAATTGCAGACGCTGCTCCCACTTCACCAAAGCAGTCCAAGAACTTCACTTTTAAACTTTAAGAATGAAACAATACAATGAAGTTACTCCGATTCATCACCTGTTTTCACATTTTTACACCAGTTTATTCAGACATTTGTAAATCAATACTTTTTGGTTCATAACTTCCTGAAACCAAATGACTTCTCGCCGTTTGTCGATGGTTTTCAGCCCAACTTTCACGCCTCTGGAACTTTGATCAAACGCTACAACTACAAAAGGATCACTTTGAACTCTTTATTTTAAATCTGCTGCCGATGATTCACACAAAACTTGTCTTAAACTTTATTCAATAATTCAAACTCGGCGTCGGAGAAGACCTTGACCTGTCGCGACGGCCCTGCTCAGGTGTCCGTGGCCGCTCCATCTTCCCCGTGTCCTTAAACACACATGGAATAATAAATCATCCAAAACTAATAACTTGTTCCTGACTGACCTTATTTGGCTGAAGTTAATTGTCTTTGAACTTATCTTGAAATGGAATTTTTAAAACATCGCTACATGACTTTGAACACAGACAGAATGTATAAATCTCTAATGCAGAAAACTGGTTCAAAACCTCGTCTGCACGTCTTTACTTTTCAAGACATTATGACATCCAATTAAGTCTTTCGGACCCTCGATCCATGCGTGTCATCCCCCGTAGCAGCAGAAGCAAACCCTCCTCTGCCCCACCTCCACCGACGTCCCCAAAGTTACTCAGAATAGATTTCTAGCAAAGTTGTTCGCTAGAAACGGTCGTATCTCTCCGCGCAATGTTATACACTGGTTGCATCCCTCGCTGTTGAGAGAGACACGCCGGCCACTGACCCCGCTTGCGGTCTTCACTCTGAGTCTTGTGTTTGGGAGCCGCCGGGGGCCCCTTATCTGTGACCCGCAGGTTGGACCTCGCTGTCTCAACTGCCAAAACATCCCATTCAAAGAGATGTGCTGAGTTCATCAATGCAGCCATTTCCACACGGGACAGAGGGGAGTGAAGGCACGCTCTAAAAATACAACTGAATACATTACACACACACACACACACACACACACACACAAACACACATGCACACACACACAGACACACACACACACACATACAAAAAGCACAGAAATAAATATGCCAAGTATGCAAGAAGTCAATGTGACACGCATACTTTGAGTGGAGTTTAGAATTGGCCATAAGACCTGCGTTTGTCCTGTTACAGACAAGGTTTTGGCCTCCTGCTGGGACTCTGAGGAGCACAGGGACTGGCCTCCTGCTGGGACTCTGAGGAGCACAGGGACTGGCCTCCTGCTGGGACTCTGAGGAGCACAGGGACTGGCCTCCTGCTGGGACTCTGAGGGAGCACAGGGACTGACCTCCTGCTGGGACTCTGAGGAGCACAGGGACTGACCTCCTGCTGGTGCCAGAGTCAGGACTATCCATGTAGAGGATGCACTTCAGATTATGCAACTAAAACCTGAAACAGTCTTCCTGAAAATGTGAGACAGGCTTCTACTCTGACAATGTTCAAAAACCTGGTTTAACCGTGCTATACTTATAAACTTGCCTTGTCTACTTTCACAGTACCAACTTTCTTGATTAATTGAGAAGAATTCTTTATAATATGTTTCATTTGCAGATTAAATCAAAAAGTGAAAAGAGTATACGGACATAACAGACAAAAAAAACAGGAAGACATAATAATAAATAAGATAATTAGATAGATAATAAATGCATATATACATAAATAAATACATTTAAAAAACAGATTGGATTGAGTTCTAGCCCTCTCCCTCTCCTCTCCCTCTCCTCTCCCTCTCCTCTCCCTCTCCTCTCCCTCTCCTCACCCTCTCCTCTCCCTCTCCTCTCCCTCTCTTCTCCCTCTCCTCTCCTTCTCCTCTCCCTCCTCACCCAAGGAGAGACCGGTGACAAGCGTCCATCGAGGAGGCCCCTCTGATCAGCCGCACAGGTCAGGTCCTTGCCAGTACTCCACTCCAGGGCCCCAGACCCCGACCTCTCCCGTCACAACTGTCACCCAGGCCCCGTCTGAAACCTGGCTCCCTGACCCGGCCGCTGGTATATTTAGAACTGGCTGGCGGTGGCCCCATCCCGACTGTCCAGGCTGTCACACGTCCAAACCCCTCGCTCACATCAAGGGGAGGCAGCGGAGGGTCCAGACCGTGGATTGATGGAAACAATAATGATTGAATAATTCTGATTGTGTAGCGTTTGAGATTTTTGTGACTGTTTTTATTTCTATATAAAGAGTTCAAACGCAAACAACAGATGTCTCCGTTTTTAGAATTGGTTGCTTTAGATAAAATTCTCAACCTGTTTATTGTTATTTATTTTTTTGACAGAATATTTGACAGGATTTGGAGGTGATACTTTATAAGTTTGGCCCTAAAATAGCTTTTTCAAAAACTACATGGGAAAGTACAAATTGTAAGTTATTCAAATATCTGTTTTTGCAAAGAAACTATTTGTATTTTTTCTATGTTATTATTGTCATGAAATTGTCTTGTATGATTGAGATGTGTTATGTTAATGTTTACTGTAGCTAGAATTGTGTAGTTTATTGTGTAGCAAGTTGTCATTCATCCGCATGTTTAACAAGACCAAGGGCAGGTGCAATACTCGGGGTTCGTGCAGTATAGTTGAGTTTATAGTGTTTCCGTCTCTGCTTTCTACTTTCTACTTTGTTGTCCCCTAGTTGTTGTTTGTCCGTGTCTCTCTGTTTATAGTCTGTAGATAGTGATTTGTATGTTTTTTTTTCTTAAGGGGTCTGCAGATGGAAATTAGCAACAATCTAACATGAAAATGAATATGTCATGTTCCTCCGTCCTCACAAGAAAAAAAAGACCAACTGCTATAAAATGAACTGAAAAGTACAAATTTACAATCAAAATGAATATGTTTATGACTTGTTGAAGTGTTGTAAATAATGCAAATTGAATTGAACGATGTATTCATTGTGGCCCTCGGAGTAAAAAAGGTTAGTTCACCCTAAATACTAAATGCACCTTTAACTTGTTTTTAGTAAATAATAATGTATTAGTTGCCTTCACTCAGATGGACAGGTGCAGGGTGTATCATGGATTCAAATCAGATCCACTTCTGCTTCCCACAGAGCAGGAAAGCTTGTTTTCCCTCCTCCTGCCGACTTTGACAACCTACCATTTAATCTCGCTAGGCGGAGTCTGTAACTGCAGCTAATGCGTCTACACCGTGTGTTTAAAGGCTCCTTCAGCAGGTTAATGGGATTCCCTCAGCTCTCGAGTGGTGCCGACAATCGCAACCGGCTCCAAGTCGAGAGTGATTAACCTGGGCCCGCGTGAGACCGCAACGAGCCCGTGCACCTCTGCCCTATACACGTGCTTCCACGTTCACTTACGGGCGAGGGGGCAAAGTGCTGAGACAGAGAGAGCGAGAAAGTGAGGGAGTGAGGGAGCGATCACAAGCGCTTATCTGCTATTGATGAGGAGGTCGCAGGGCGGGGGGTTGGGGGGAGACCTGGAGGAGACCTGAGGTAGACCTGAGGTAGACCTGCCGGCTGGCTGAGGTCTCCCCCACTCAGAGAGGACTGTGTTCACCAAGATTTCACTGTAAAAGTCAAGACAAAATATAAAATGTGACGTCAGCAACTGCAGATGGTCAATGATTATGATCTATAGCCCTATTTCGACCAGCTCAGCTCTACTCTACTCTACTCTACTCTACTCTACTCTACTCTACTCTACTCTACTCTACTCTACTCTACTCTATTCTATGCTACTCTACTCTACTCTACTCTACTCTACTCTACTCTACTCTACTACCCCACGCTACTCTATGCTACTCAACTATACTCTAATCTGATCTACTCTCTATTCTACTCTCCTCTACTCTACTCTAATCTGCTCTACCCTCTCCTCTCCACCAACCCACCATACTCTACTCTACTCTACTCTACTCTATTCAACAGTACCATGTCCTTCGTTAGTCCCTTCTATCCTGGTACTAAAGAGTTCCAACCAACAGTGACTGGTCAGAATCACAGGAAGCCAAGGTGTAATGAAAATACAACCTGGTTCGGTAAAAATACGTTTCTGTTCCTGGAATATTTGACCGTTATCTAATGTATTCTATTCAATAATGTAATAAATGTAGATATAGATTATTTTTGAGGGTTTGCATCGATGAAACTTGAATCATGCCTACTTACAGACCCACACAGGGGGACATCCAACATTATGACTTACTACAATGTCAGCTGTCAGAGTCAATGTCAGATTTATTTGTGTAGCACATTTACAAGAACAAAAGCTGCCCAAAGTTAAAAAATGCATGTAAAGAGTAAAACTCAAGTGGTGTTAAAGGCCAAGCCGTGAAAATGTGTCTTCAGACTAGATTTAAAAACCTTCACTAATACTGCAGCTTCCAAATAGAGATAAAAAGTAAGTATGCAACAGTTGTATGTTGGTCATTACGGATTGTGTTGTGGCCAATCATTTGGGCAAAGCTTCTGCATCAAACGGTTTAAAAATGAGTGAGAAATCTTGGCCTACAAAACATTTAACAGAACAAATTACACGTCGGACGGAAGACAATCACCACATCTTCTGCTCGACTGAACCTGGTTTCGTTTGAAAACTTGTTGCGTGGTCTCCCAGTCGATTATCTAGATCAGTTGACCCTTGTTGACTGCTCACATTTCTGATCTCTTCCAACACGGCAGCCTCGCAGATACTCCGACAACTCGTTACGTTGGGCGCTTGTGCGTTTTGACCCCGATAATGGAGGAGATTGTTACGCATGGTTCGCCGCGGTGCAGTGTCGGCGGTAATCATCCGTTCTCGTGGGTCACCGTGCGGAAGCGATTGTGTCTCTCTCCGACCCCTGGCTCCTTCAGCGTTGGTCAGTGAAGCGATGGCACGAGGCAGGAGTGGACCCCGATCACCTTCGACTCAACGGCTCCCCACGAGTGAGTCACCGTCACTGAGGCGGCTGTGGCTTTGCATGTTTGAGTCACTACCTCTAGTCGTGGCTAAGGATGAACTCGTGCGACGGGTTATTGCCAAATCATTTACCGTTCTGGCTAGCTCACTGTCTTCTGAGGCAGCCATCTTATCTTCGCCCGCCACTTTGCCTCAGGAGTAGAAGTGTAAAAGAACTTTGGCAGAGTACACTGTATGTCCCTGATTTGGCAGTCTGGGGTGGAAAACGGTCGCTAGTTTATTAGTTGGTTAGCCCTGATGGTCCAACCAAGCTCCTAGTCTCCAAGATGTCTGCCTCAAGTCTCTAAGATGTCTGACCTAGGTTCCCAAAATCTCTGCCCCAGATTTCCAAGATGTCTGACCTAGGTTCCCAAAATCTCTGCCCCAGGTTTCCAAGATGTCTACGCCAGGTTTCCAAGATGTCTGCCCCAGGTCTCACCAGGGTCTCTTGCACCACGGACGTCCCAAACACTAGCAGAAGACATGTTGGAGTCAGCTCTGGTTTTCCTAGTCTTAGTAGTAGCACAAAGATTTGGATTCATAGAAAACTGATGCATTTCAAAAAGAAAACAAAAGTTGAGGATGACGAGGGGCACAAAAAACCATAGGTTGCCGGTCAACTGAGGACGAGGCGTTTTAGTGAACACTGAGGTCTATGGGGAAATGTACAGCCCATGTGGATTTAGGCTGCTGTACTGAGGGTGGCCTCTAGTCCATGTGGAGACGAGTTTAAGCAAAACTACTCTCAACATAAAATACTACATACATGGGTCCATCACTATTTTTGAACACAGTTTGGTTTGTCACAAAATACGCAAAATGCATTCAATAAATATCTCTTTTATTTTGTGAATAATTTTCCTCTATCCAATTGGCGGCACGTAGCCGAGTGGGGACCTCGGTTCAAACCCTGTTCCTGGCCGGGATTTCTGCACAGTTTCAAAATACAGTAAGCGAGAGAAATCTTGGCCTACAAAATATTTACCAAAACAAATTACATGTCAGACAACAGACAATCACCAAATCGTCTGTGTGACTGAATGTGGTTTGGTTTTAAAAGTTGTTAATTGGTCGATTATCAAGATGAGTTGACCCTTGTTTATCTCATTTCTGATCTAGTCCAACTCAGCAGACCTAATATTTCTGAACCTGTTTTTTATTGAACCCAAACTAAACATATGAGGAGTCCATTTGCAAAAACAGATATCTCTCTAAAATTCATCGAAAAGGTTTGAGTCAGGGTTATTTTGTTTGGCTTGTTTGTTTTCCCCCATTTACGAATGTCAACTTGATTCATTATTAGCAGTAAATTTGAAATGTTTGTCTCAAGAAGGGGTGAAACTCTATCTGTATGGCAATAAAATAAACCTGGTTTTTCAAAAATCTGCTTTATGATGGGTAAATTGTAGCCAAGCCTTATCTGTCCGTAAACTCTGGTCCATGATCATTTCCTTCATATACGTCTGGGTCTGATCCTAGTGGCTGCAGTTTCCTCGGTTGAATCCCCTCCGACCAATCAGAGAGCGGGGGAGGCGGGTGTTGTAGGTCGTGTCTGTGACGTCAAGAGTTTGGTAGGTATACTTTTCTTCTTTTATCTGTTTTTGCAAATAAACTGTTCATATTTTTTCATTTATTTTTTTCTTGGCCTTCTAAGATAGTTTGTACGGCCTGGTCTTGCTTACATTTCAGGCCATGTCTAAATACAATAACTGCTTCCAACAAATGCTTTCTCGCTGGTGTGTGATGTCACATAGGCTATTACATTCAAGTGGAAGCATCTGCATCTACTGTATCTCCAACTTTGCCAATAGCTTCAACGACCTGATTTATCTTATTTACGAGAATGCAGAGAAACTAGAAACACACTAGTCAAGTTAGTGTGTGTACATCATTCTTCTGAACCAACCCTTGTGTTTGCGATAACACAACAGGGAGCCTGTGTGTCTGTGCGGGTCAGGGGCAGGAGTCCTGTGACCTGTCAGAGCTGAGGTGTTTTGGTCGGACTCATGATCTCGCACATTTCCACGGCTCGAAACACGTACACTGACGTCTAGACACTCACAGGTCATGCGGCTCGTCACAAGAACACGCCTGAAACTCACACGGTTTGACAGTTATGTGATCAAATGTACATATCAAATATTAGCTTAGGTTAGATAGATAGATGGATGAATGGATGGATAGATAGAGATAGATGGATGGATAAAGATAGC